TGTTAAATAAAAGTAAACTTAAATAAGAAAGTTAAGTCAAATAAAATGTAAAAAGTGTGAATACATGTTTTGTGGGCACAGACATTGTGCTCTTGAATGATGTAAATGTTGTGTAGGTGGAGGGCATTTCCACAGCCAGCCTTGTTAGAGTAATAGTTAATGCAGGAGTTACCCTGTTTGGGACAGCCCTGTCACATGGCCTATCTGCTCCGGGCTTTCACTTCACCATTTAGACTTCCCTTTTGCAGGCGCAAGTTTGACTACTAGACCCTCTACTGAAACTTAAACAATCTCATAAGATAAAATGGAGGACGTGGCGGGTGTAGAGACTAGAGTGTGGTATTACATGACAATTCTGTGGTCTAGCAGCTTTCCGGAAGATCGACAAAGATTGAAGATATGAGATAGACTTAAAAGCGAAAATGAGTCATGTATAGGACTGTTAAAGTATAGAGAATCTGATCCTAATTTATTCTAAAACTAGATACGCATTTAAGCAGCTATTGATACTAAAAAAAGTCATATTCAAACTATCCTGAGTCGCTTTAGAATTATCTTAAGATGTATCAGAAAAAGTATAAGAGCACATAGACAGTGTTGGGAAGGTTACTTTTAAAATGTATTCCCCTACAGATTACAGATTACATACCCAAAATGTAATTTGTAACGTAATCACTTAAATTACTTAAAGTGAGCAACGTAAACTGAATACTTTGTATTACTTGATATTGTCATGCTTTTTAAAACGACATGAATGTAACAACCACATCCTGAAAATTCTTGTTTGTTCTCTTCAAATTGTCTGTTGAGCCCAAGTCTCCATGAACAGACTTTTGTTTACTGTAGAGAAGCAAATACGAGGATCTTAACATAAGAAGTTTTATCTGCTAAAAGAAAATAAAAAGTCCAGTCTTTCCTTAAACATATTAAAAATATTATTGATAAAGAAATCCTTTTTATATGAGATCACTGCTGCCTTAAATTATGTCCACCCTACTGTTAGTGTCATATTGTTTAGACCTGGTTTAGTCCTAGTTTTAGTCCGGATTTTAGTCTTTGGGCCCGGTCAAGCAGAAGTAAACAGCGAAGGCCAAAAATTCAAGTTAATGCATCTGATATAAAACTGTATTCAACAGATAGCATATGTACTCTAGTTTATGAAACTGATGACCTTTTTTCTGTACCATTTGGTTCTAAAGTTCCATACGTTTTAAACAGACCATGTATGAAATGGAACAAAAATTATTTCCCAAATTTCAAAGACCTGCAAATCATGTCTAAATGGATGTATTTCACATATTTTTCTCCGCTTGGTGCCTGTGGTCACTGGTGAACACTTGTTTGTCCACGAGACTAATAAAGACAGCATGTCACAACTCTGCTTTACAATGCAATTTTACAGCAGATATTTGCAGCCACATGTCCCTGTGAGGATTTCCAGGTATTGCTAAATTTTTCATGATATGATTATATAAAGTTTTACTGTACTTATCTTGTGGAATAATCGAAGCAGCCTAGAGTTGTGTGAGGCTGGAGTTCTATAGCAGGGGAATTTTATTTACCATACAGTCCATTCTAATCTAGTCCAGTCTAGTCCATTCCGGTCTATCTAATCCATTCTAGTACAGTCTAGACCAGTTTAGCATAGGCAAGGCAAGGCAAATTTGTTTGTATAGCACAATTCGTACACAAGTAATTCAAAGAGCTTTACAGAATAAGAAGTATATTAAAATCACAATACAAACAGATTAAAAAAAATAAATAATCATAAAAAAAAGTCTAGTCCAGTTTAATCCAGTCTAGTCCCAACCAGTCCAGTTCAGTCTAGTTTAGCTATTTCTGCTGTAGGGAGTATTACACATGATGACTATAATACATTATAACAAAACAAGAACTGAGCTGACATGTCAGAGTGTGGAGCTGGCACAGCACAGAAATTACAGTGAGTATTACTGTGAAATTACAAGTACATAATCATTTTCACTCTTTTTGTGCATCTTATCCACTTGTTTGTATAATAGAAATTAAAGTTAAACACAAAGACACTGCTCATACATACTATCATAACCACAAGAAGAGGAATGACAAATGATTTCTTCATTGAGGAATATGTCTGTGAGTAACTGAGGCTCTTAAGTTTCTAAAGAGGTTCATTCAGATTCTGACGAATACAGTCTATACATTTGCATATCCACAAGCTATGTTAAAAAGGACATGTTAATTTTGTACTTGCAATTCATATCATAATAAACTTGGAAGAGTTCCATGGAGTTAATACCATACCAACACCAACTTATCTAAAGTATCTAAAATATCTAGTATAGTACACCAGTAAAGTATACCAGCATTTTCTGGTTGTCTCATTACCACACCTATTCTTCTTATACTAGATTGTAGATTAACTTACAATGTGTTGATTGTTTGTTTGATATGCTATTCTTTATAAAGGCATGATTAATTCAAGTTCATTTGAGTTAATAAACCTTCTGGAAGACTTTGAATTATATAATACATGATGATGGCAAAGCTGCGCTGCACAGCAAGCAATTACCAAAGTACACAGCTGTTCATTAATAATAATAATGACATCGGTGTAGTAAAAGCTCACACATGCCTGCTAGGGAGTAAGATGTTGCTCAGTGCAAATGGCATGAGCTGCATTGTAAATGATGTAATCAGACAAAGGCTTTCTGTACTCAAATATCTTTAAATCAATAGTAAACATTAAATCTTTTCTCTGACAATTAAAAAAAGACACTCTACTGCATAGTTAAACTGGAACACCTTTTTACAAATCAAGCAAATCACAATCAGTGAGGCATAAACAAATCCAATCTTGAACTAAACCAGAGAAAAAGTATTTCAAAGACAGAAACAGGTCTATGTTAGAACTAAAATAAATAAAGCAGGACTATGTAAAAAAAATACAACTAATATGTACTCAATCAGAACTTGAATACCATTGAATACATTGAAAATGTGTTATTCATATTATAAATAACTCTAAACCAAAATTTTACCAAAATTTGAGACTTACTAATTGCATCACTCTCCCCAGATTTTTTCTGGGGAGTACTTGGAGATTTTAATTGTATTTTAACAGGTTTACTGACTGACTAAAGTGGGCAAGAAATCAGGAAAAGTATGTTTTGTGTGTCTCATGAGTCCAGTTCTGATTGGTCATGGTAATTTAGTAGACTGCTGGTGGGCATCCATGTGCTTCAGTGAAGTGTAGGCCTGTATAGTGAAACTGCAGGCTGAGATGTTTAAGCCTGTCCCAGGGGAACCTGATCCTCCTATAGCCGCACTAATACAGCTGATTAGCCCTGACCGTGACCACCACGTAGAGCTTCTTTTGAAGTTGTTAATATGTCATAAAAGTAATATGTCTCATGTACAGCCTTGTGAACTGGAAACACAATTTTGACACAAGCTCACCCTTATATTTACATTATGCATTTATTTGAACTTGGTAAGATGTTTTCCACGCCATAGTCAAAATTTAGAATGAGACTTACATGTTTTCCACACAGCAGACTTGAGCCAAACAACTCAGTGCTACACTGTGAAGCTGCCTGTACACTTGTCTGTAAACAGTCACATCTTCTAAGCCTATTTCTTTTAGGGGTTCAGAGTGGCTCTCAATAACTCTGACCCCGAGGTGAGGTGTATTCTATCTGAAGACACACAGTGATACCAGGAGGGCAGACCACAAGAGACTGTGAGTCAGTCACTCAAACGAACAAAACTACAGTCTGCTGTCCCCTGGTCCGAATTCCTGAATTGATGACAGATAACTTACGTACCATAATTTAGACAAATCCTCACTAAATGTTTATTTTAGTCCATCCTTTTCATCGTCATTGTATTGCAGGTCACCACAACCAACAATTTTGTAGCCAGACATTTGTTATTTTCACCTGCTCCATTTCAGATGCCGCACCAAAGAAGATATTGAAAATCTTAATACCTTCCTGAGTAAAGCAGGTCACTTCGCCCTGCAGCATAATGACAATATAATGAGAGCAAACTGCTTGAGCTGAGTATGTATGAGTATTCATTTATGCTGTCATCACTACAGACCTCCACACTTCTTACTTCTATAGCCTCTTAGCTGCACTCATATGTGTCAGAATAACAGAACACTCAAATCCAGAACTTAGAATTCTCACATTGAGTTCAATTTACTTCATTTTAATCAGCCCACACTTTTTCATTGGAGCCCTGCATTGCCCTGTTCATTTGCAAGTACACCTCTTACTTTTTGCCATTAGAACCGTGGCCCTTTCAGTGACTCATGACAGCTCACGTGGACTCCACAGCTTAAGAACTGAACATAATTATTAGATTCATTATGACTCAGCCCAATTTGACTCTTTCAGATTTTTAACAAGAGATTATCTAATGCATTTATGCAGAAAAACATTTGCTAATTTAAATATTGTCCTCCAAAACTGGGCATTGTTATAATATTCTAGTAGGTACATTGCTGACTTCATTATCCACTCTCTTCTTTTGTACAAGACAGAAATTTACCTGAGGACACCAAGGTCCTTGTCCTCCTGCTCAACAAATGTCTCAATATAACATCACATCTGACATTTTGTCCCTTTTTAAATGTTTTCTCCCATTCCAATATTTCTAACACTTCTAACTCCAGGCTCTTGACCAGTTACTTAGTGTTCTCAAAGAAGCTTGACACTAGATTTGGTGTAATATTTGATCACATTTTCTGACCATAATCCTCTTTGGAGCAGTTACATAATGAGGCACATTTGTTTTGTCAGGGAGGTGTGTAGTGTGTAGGTGGATCATGGTTTGTGTTGAGTGGGAAGGATTGCACACAAACAATTAGATGGTGAGTTATCCTGCCATGCTTTTGACTGAATAGGGGCCAAAACAAAGGATCTCCCTAGGGATTATAAGACAGAAAATACAAAGTTGATTGCAAGCTAATGTGTGCAATATTCTTTCAAAACAATAGGAAGATGAGAACTGAATTTTTTTTTTACAAAACTATGTGTTTTTATTAGGTCCATGCCTTTACATAAACTGGGTCACATATAGGTCACATCGCATTAGCATACATGTCTGAAGCATAAAACAGAGCAATAAAAAAATAAAATAAAATAAAATCTTCATCTTGTTAATTAAGTAATTATTTACACTGAATTAATGTCATTACATTGCCACTTATGTGACAATGACAAACAATGCAAATACCAAGATGAAAAGGAATTAGATACATTCTTGAAAAACAAATGTGCTGTTACTAAGTTTGTACTGACATTTCTGGTTGTTATCATTTTGCTCGAAATGTTTCACAGTACTGGATTAAACTCATCTCCATGGAGACAAGCAGTTGACACCACAATAATAAGTAACAAATCTGTAGAGAAGCACACTCACACTAAGAATTTGTATATTTTTGATCAATAAAAACTATGAATAAAAGCAAGATGGATTAAGTTGCCATGCTGAGGAAATTCCTGGCTAAGCCATAACATCTCAATGAAGACAAGCAGGCGGTGGACCCTCCAACCATTAAAGTTAAATATCCCTTAAATTATAACATTTTTTGTGTCATATTTGTCAAAGCGAAATATTGTAGCAATGTATGGAAGGACATTAAAACATGCATTGCAACAGCATATAGGTCAAAGTTCATTTTGGCAATTTAAGAATATAATCCTGAAAGTTGGTACATTGTGACTGCTGAGTGCTGACCAACTTGCATGACTTGTGAGTTAAAATGTTAGCCACACACGCCCCCTGGAGGCAAAATGATGTATTATCCTAGACCCTTCAAATGGATCTAGTGCGCTGTCCCAGATCCATTAGACTGAGGGTGTCAGTGAGCTATGTTTGGATGACAGCAGATTACATCATGATTGGTCTTCACTGTAGATGAAGACATAATAGAAAAGCGCGCTCACAGCCAACAAAGCCACAGACAGCACCATGTTCCTCCGATTCTCTCCCCTCAGCACCTGCAGCTCCTGGTCTGCAACAAGAACAAACATCCCACAATATCAATACTGAAAATAGGTGTACTTGAGTCTATACCTCTACTAAGAGAATGTTCCTTGTTAATGTCTGCAATAAAAAGTAAATAATAGGATTTTCACCTTGGTTTACGCAGTGTTGTTTTATGGGTTTTTTTTGTACTTCATATAAAAATGCATTTTACCTAATTTGTTCACTCTTTCATTCATAATAGTCATTTCTTCCTCCAGGTCCTGCCTAAATAAAAAGGAAATAAAGAAAAGAATAAACTGCATAAGCCGCCATATGAAACCATGTAGATTTATGGATAATATTATAAGATCTTTGGTCACAAACCTTTCCTTTTCAGACAGCGCCTCTCGTCTGTGTCTAAACTCCACCTGATCCAGGTTATCTTGGCACCGCGCGCGCCGCTCCTCCAGACGGTCGATCTAAACACGATTTAATGACATCTGTTAGTTTGTGCACAAGAAAGCTCATTTAATCAAGCCAGCGATGAAACGCACTCTGCTCTCTTTTAGCGCACAAGAAATGATCGCTACAAATGTGATCACAAATGATTAAAATATTTGGGCTTCCCCGTGCGTCTCACCTCAGAAGCAACACTGTAATTTTCTCGCCTTTTATCTTTTAATTTAGGCATTCTGTTGACAGTAAAAGCTACACAGCAGTGACTACGGAAGTGATTTTCTTCCTCTTTAATCATGGATCATGGTCATGCGCAATGTGCTTTACTGCCCTCTGTTGTAAAGATTTACTACTGCCTGGATTTAGGAACAAATAGGGCCTGCAAAAGTTGTCAGTCTATAAATGCATTCATCAAATTGTTACAGAGATTATGTGAGAAAGGTAAAGTCTAAAAATAAATATTTTAAGTGTAGGCTATAAGGCCTATTTTTTCTTTGTGGTTAAAGCGATAGGGCAGTCCAGTTGTCTTAATCGGATTAAAGTGCTTTAAAACTCACCTCATTTATCGGAAGAGAGAGGAGACACACAGTGCTATAGATAGTCTTGGACACGGTTTATTTTTATGTTAGAAATATGCCGCTTTTTGTAAATAGGGACCGAATGTTTGCGCACCAAGTGCATTTGCTGGAACACAAACTGCGGGTAAGTCGCAAAAATATACTTTTACACGTGCGCTTACACTTGCTATTATGTGTATTCACTTTGCCCAGAGTAAAGAGGAGCGAATACTGGAACTGGAAACTGAGAATGCGATTCTTCATTTAAGGCTCGCAGAGGTAAGAAGAGGCAGTTTGTTGAGGGTGCATTTTTTTTTTTTTTTTTTTTAACTTGAATTAGACAATAACAGGTGAATGAAGTGTACATGTCGCACACTTCGACAACGTCAAAAGTCAAAGAGCGACGCAGATGGTTTCAAATCACAGCACGCATAGTTTATACACAGCAAATTCAAGTGTTAATTCAACTCGTATATTGTTCATTTTAACACTTACCATGTCATATGGGGTCCACAATAAAATGAGTTAAAACTACACTTTGCAAAGTGTAGAAGGCTCAACACTGGTTAAGTGATGTAACCACACTCCTCACAGTTGAATTTGACACTGATTAAGATTTGATTTTTTTACACTAGTGTATAGTGAAAAACTAATAACTCTATATTGTTATGTTTTAACACTTTATCAAGCGGAAATAGTGTAGAGTGTTCTTCATGTTATACTATTCAATAGTAACTCTTTCTTCACTAAATACAGTGTAAATGCTGTGGTCATTCGAGTTCATAAAATAATGAAAACCACCGCAATATTCCATTTCATCTTAACTTGTATTAAAACAATGCACATCAAACAATCAACACAATTTAAACAAGTCATATGACACGAGATGTGTGAAGAATCCCTCAGTCGTCCAGGTAGAATCCATGAGGAGAAAATTCAGTTTGTTGACTCGACAAAAGTTAGTTTGGTTGAAGATGTTTTGCAGCTCATCCAAGCTGCTTCTTCAGTTCTGGTCAGGCTCAACCAGCAAGAAATGTGTCTATACCAATCTGTAAAATAAAATATAGAATAGAATAAATCTAACATATTAAAGTAACCACCTTGCAAAACGGGCTATCCAATATTTAATGAGCCATGAATAAAAATGTAAAAGTAAATATATAGTAAATATATTATGGTGCATATATCATTTTTGTTTGTTCCTTTTAAGCAGTTTATTCTGTTGCATGAGCTGTATATTTTTGTATATAGGAACCATTCAAATAAATAACTTCAAGGGTAATTTGAAAAAATATAGCCCCTTCGAAAAGATTATTTTTAAATGCAAGACCCACAAGAAACAAAAGACCTAAATGCCATAAATCATGAAAATAGAATGAGATGAAGGCAAAAATTACAACTACTTAGCACATATATAAAATTCAATTAGTCAATTATGAAATTATTGGTGAGGTTACATTTCAGTTCTGTTGGGAACATGTACATGTGCAAAGTACTGGGGGGGTTGCAGCTAGATTTTCCTATCCTCGGTCAGAAGGCACAGGAGACTTGATAGGTGACAATGAACTTTAATCCCATTTGAACAGTAACAGTAGCAGCAGGTGCATACATGCGTTGGTTTGTGTGTGTGTGTGTGTGTGTGTGTGTGGTTTTCTGTAACAAAAACAGCAAAAAGGAAATAATTAAAATTAAGTATCATACAAGTAAATACACAGGTAAATAATGTAACAGTAACAAGGCTTATAAGTGACTGAACAGCGCCCTTTTTTGGTTGGAAAAATGTACTACAAGGTTCAGTTTACAGTTTGGTGACATCATGAATATTAATTAGCGGAAACAGGCAAATTATATAATTGCGAAGTTTGGACAAAGGAAAAAACTTAAGACTAATTAGGAGACATTCAACATTCAACGTAGAAGTAAGACATGAATGGTGAAAACGTTAATAATAGCTTGTACGCTAACATAAAGATAAACATTAAGTATAAATTACTAACAGGATTATATTATTAAACTGAACTCAAAATATTGGCTACATTCGGGTGCCTAAACAAATAAACATAATAAGTATATACATACAAACAGAAATGCACTGCAACACTTACTTATTATTTACGCGCACGGTACATGTCCAACATGTTGCACTCGAAACAGCCGCTCAACATAATACTGGGCAGGACTAGACCAAACATGCCCACAAAATGGGAACATGGAACAGTCCAAATACCGACTACCACAGGGGGTTTTATACAGCCGCCCCCTAATGTGTGGAGCACGTTAGTTAAAAATAAAAGCCCATGTGACGATATCTAAGTACCATCTACACGCATTTCGGGTAGTGCAACAAGTTTGGCAACTGGGCGTCGGTAAGTATGGTCCCTAATGGTTACTTCCACCACTCGCACCTGTCCGTCCGGGTTGGGAAACACCTGTGTGACCTTGCCCACAGGCCAAAGTGACCACGGGAGTTGTGAGTCCACTACCATAACAGCTTGTCCCACTGTCAGTGCTGGAGTAGTCTGTTGCCATTTCTGGCGATGCTGTAGTGCAGGTAGGTAATGCCGAACAAACTGAGCCTAGAAGTGGTCAGCTATCACCTGGCTGTGGTGCCATGTCCGCCTCCCAAGCTGTTCTCTGGTGCCATACACAGCTTGAGGCAAGGAAGCGTTCCGCCGCCCCATGAGCAGCATGTTTGGGGTGATAGGATCAATGTCTGCAATGTTAGAGGACACATATCCCAGTGGTTTGGAGTTTAGTATTCCTTCAGCCTCGATGAGGATAGTGTGCAGTAGATCCTCTGCTACATTCTGACCCTGGAGGACCACCTTAAGTGCATATTTAACTGAGCGGATCTCCCGCTCCCAGGCTCCCCCAAAATGTGGAGCATGTGGAGGGTTAAAATGAAACGCGATGCTCTGGTCACCAAGCTTTTCCTGCAGCTGAGGCTTCATTGCCTTAAATGCCTCTTGTAGCTCCCTGTCACCTCCTTTAAAGTTGGTGCCCTGATCACTCAATATTTCAAATGGCTTTCCTCGCCGTGCAATGAAGTGGCACAGAGCCATGAGAAACGAGTCAGTATCCATACCATTAAGTAGGTCCAGGTGAACACAGCGGGTGGTGAGACGCCCCAGCGCTTTTCTTGTCTCCTGCCTATCTTTATGGTAAAAGGGCCAAAACAGTCAATGCCAGTAGACCAGAATGGAGGCTGCTGTAGGTGCAGCTGGCTGGCAGGGAGATCAGCCATTTTAGGTGGTACAGAATTGGCTCTCCACTTCTTACACCCTAAACAGTGATGTTGGTGTTTTCTAATGGCTTGCCTCCCCTATAGAATTCAGTACACGTGCCTTAAATTCAGCAAAGACATGCTCAGGGCCAGGATGTAGGAAGCGAGAGTCATAGTCCTTAATGATGAGCTGAGTTGTGGGGTGGTCTGGTGATAGCACAATGGGATGCAGAGAATCAATGTCCATGTTTTCTGCACGGCGGAGATGACCACCTACTCGAATAAGACCAAACTTGGAGTCATATTCTGGAGACAGGGTGTGGAGACGGCTGCCCGCGTGCACCTCCTTTTCAGCTGTAAGGGCATTCATTTCTGCTGGAAAACTATCCAGCTGTGCCTGTCTTAGCAGCTGGATTTCAGTTTCTAGGCGCTGAGCTGCAGACATGGGAAGGGGCAGCCACCCCGTGAGAGGACAGGTAGGTGGCCTGTACCAGATCAGCCCAGGAATCATGGTCTGCAGACTGTATTGGGTTAGTAGCAACATAAGCACAAAACACAGATTTCTTCAGTTCACTATTGTCCACAGAGTCATTACTCAAAATAGGCTGGGTTGGCCAGTGCTCAGGTGTTCGTCTCAGGAAGGAAGGTCCATCCCTCCACAGGCCTGGGGCAGACAGCTCCAACAGTGCGTTGCCCCGGGTGATGTCATCTGCTGGATTCAAAGCTGAGGGAACATATCTCCAGCTGGCAGCCTCAGTGAGCTCCTGTAGTTCAGCAATACGAGTGCCAACAAAAACCTTATATTGACATGACTCGGACTGAATCCAGTTGAGCACAGTGGTAGAGTCTGTCCACAAAGTAGTGTCACTGATGGGGAGAGTAAGCTCACTGGTGAGGAGTTTGGATAACTGTGCCCCTGCCAATGCTGCACATAGCTCCAAACGGGGTACTGACAGTTGTTTTCTTGGTGCTACACGGGACCTGGCCATGGCAAAGGCGGTGTGCACTTTGCGTCCAGCTGACTCAAATCTCAGATATGCCACTGCTCCATAAGCACGCTCTAATGCATCACAGACTATATGCAGCTGTACTGTTCCATCTTGTGTCTCTGGTGTGGTGTAGCACCTGAGCATGCAGATATTTGGGAGAAACTGTCGCTCACTCACCCACTCCTGCCTGTGGGTCTGGTTTGTGAGCAGTTAGCCACAGCTCACAGGTGGGTTATCTTGCCTCCACTGGAAGATGGGCTATGGCCTCTGGATAGTTACTAGCCCACTGTCTGATCTCAAAGCCCCTGTTGATACCAGTTCTCTGATATTGTCTACCAGTGGCCGTGCCTGTGATGGAGAGGGCAGGGACTGCAGGCAGTTATCAACATAGAATGAGTGCAGAACACAGTTCAGTACCTTCTTGTTACCCTCCTTGTGGTCCTGCACATGGCGCTGGAGAGCATATGTAGCACAGTAGGGGCTACATGTGGTCCCAAACGACAGCACACACCATTCATAAATGTCCGGGGTGCGCTCCCTCTCCATGTCTCTCCAGATAAATCTCAAGAGAGGTGTGTCCTGGGCAAAGAGTCGTACCTGGTGAAACATCCCTCATATATCCCCACTCACTGCAAGTACTCCCTAAATCTCAGAAGTACACCGATTAAAGAGGGACCGAGTGTTGGGCCTGGTAACAGCTGGTCATTCAGACAGTCCTGCTTGTAGTGGAATGAGCAGTTAAAAACAATCCTGGGCTTATTGTTATGACATACAATATGATGGGGAATAAACCAGGACTCGTCTGTGCTGCTTGCCTCCGAAAGACTGAGCTTCCTAGTATAACCAGCTTGTTCCAGCTTGTGTACCTCTGCATTGTATAGCTAAGTCAGGGTCTTTAGCCAGGCGCTTTTCAGTGGACCGCAGGAGAGCCATAACAGACTCAGGGCCAGTTTGTAGTCTAGAAGCGTTCTTGAGGTGGAGCAGAGCAGTTGCATAGCTGGTTATTCCATCTACTTGTACACGCTCAGTCCTGTTCTGCAGTAGCTCCAGTGCCTCTTTATCCTGCTTGGATCGAGTAACCTCCTTCTCTGACCGATAAGGAAGACCATCTACGTAACTGCCATAGCTTTTCCACATTATGCCTTAACACTTGAGATGGAGTTGGGAGCAGCAACGTGTGCAGGCATGAGGCCTCAGTTGTTTGGTGTAAAAAGGTGGCAGGACCCTGTATAGCCCAGCCAAGTTTTGTGTTCACAGCGATAGGACTGCCCAGAGGACCAGCTTTGACAGGTGACAGTGGAGTAATAAGATGTGCTTTGTCTGAGCCTATAAGGAGCATGGGTTGCACATCTGTGAATGCTTTAAAGGGGACATCACCCAGGTGTGCATATTTCTGGAGCAGAGTGTCCATAGGGCAGGATTGTTTGGCCAGATTCAGCTCTTAAGCAGTAAAAGCTTTGCTGATGTGATGTTTAGTTTGGGGGCATCATCACTAATGTCAAAGGTTACAGACTCTCCCTGTAACTCGGAGACTTCTTGTCTAATAGTCCTTAGTTTGAGGGATTCTACAGTCTTGTTTAACTGCAGGTAATGAACTGCTGCAGACAGAACAATGGTTCTTTCTGATCCATCATCAAGAATGGCATGTGTAGAAAGAGATTTGCCCTCACTATGGAGTGTAACTGGGACTACTTTGAGCATGACTGTGCCTGAGTGTGTAGCCTGATCTAGCCACACCATGCTGGATGCTGTACTCACAGTCAGAACACTCCTGTTGGTGCTGGAGGAGGCCTCATGGAGGATCTGTAGGTGTTGCTCTCCACAGGTAGTACAGGGCTTTTTTAGAGTGCAGCTGTCAGGCTGGTGTCCCCTACCACATCTCCAGCATCTTTTATTGTCGTTTATCCAGCTAACAATCTGAGGGGTAGTCAGCTTGGTGAAGTCAGATAATGTTCTGTACTGCTACGGCTTGAATTTCTCCCTTTTCTTGGCTTTAAGGACATCTTTTTTCTCTGTAGAAGCAGAGGTGTTAATGACAGCACGTGCAGGAGCTTTGTCATTGCCATAGTAGATGGATGAGGAGGGTGATCTTTTCATCTTAGATTGTGTCTCTCTGCGGTCTAAGCAAGGTTTATCTGCCATATAGCTATCAGTGGCTCGTCTTGAGATCTGAATGGCTTGTGATTTCCTCTCTAACCATCTGGCAAAATCAGGGAGAGTGTACGTGTCAGCTGAGTCACTCTGCAAGATGCCCCTTGTCAGGCAATATTCAGCAAAACTATCCTGATATGAAGCAGGGAGTTTACTCAGCAGTCTGTCCACATGAGAGCCACACTCCAATTCACTCTTTGCAGCTCCCTCTAGGGAGTTCAACAGTCCCACCAAGCTACTGACTGATAGAGCAAAGTCCTCGAACCCTTGTGCATCTCATGCTCTCACTGTAGGTGCTCTCAGAATACTGTTAATCTCACTTTAGACTAGTTGCCGTGGATGGCCATAGCGCTGCTGTAGAGCCTGCACTGCTTTGGTGTATGGCATGGGGTCATGAACATAACTCTTTGCAATTTGAAATGCAGCTGGGAATTTAAGATGATCCAACAGTACTTGGAATTTATAGTCCTCAGAAAGATGTGGATGTGGGCCCAGTACTCCATCCAGTCCTAGGGTGACCAAACGTCCGTTTTCCCCCGGACATGTCCGTATTTTGAGTCATGTCCGGGGCGTCTGTTTTTTTTTTTAATAAAGTGATGCAAATGTCCGGGTTTTCAGTACTGTTCATTGGGGGCATTAAACTGAGCGTCTCTCATAGCTCTGTGACTCAGAAGGAGTGAGCAAACACAAACAGTCGGTCAGTCTGCAAGATACCGAAGCACAAAAGCGCATTTAACAGTGAATTGTACAAGAAATTCTCCATTTTCCGTCCCGGTCGGGACAAGTGGGAGTCCATGTGCACAGGTTGTGAGGTGAGTACAGTGGTCCCTTGTTTATCGCGGGGGTTACGTTCTAAAAATAACCCGCGATAGGTGAAATCCACGAAGTAGTCAACTTTATATTTTACAATTATTCTATCTGTGTTAAGGCTGTAAAACCCCTCAGCACAAACTTTATACACTTTTCTTAGACAGGACAGGTGCAACCCTTTTTACTTCCTTCTTAAAACTTGTTGCTGCTGTCATCCTTGTCTTATTTTCCTCCTTCTTTATGTAACAAACTGAAGATTCATTTATTCCATAATAGAGCCCAACAGCGCAGAGTCCCGCACGGGTCCATTTTTGGAGACCCCCAGTACAACAACGCAACCGCGCAGTACAGGACCGCACCTGCCCGTTAACCAGAGATTATATCAAACTTTTGCACTGCCTACGCCACGGACTGAACCAAGACTAAACCAGGACTAACCCAGGACTGATTCCAGGACTGAAGAGGAGGACTAATCCACAATTGAACTAGGACTAAATCAGAACTGAAACAGGACTCACCGTCAGGACGGGCTTGGAGGTGACCACTGGTTTAGTCCTGACCCACCCGTGTGTAATTACTACCCCCCCAAAGGTGTCCGGGTTTTCACAAACAGAAGTATGGTCACCCTATGACATGGCTAGTGTCCTTTTGTGCACTGAGCTGTTTCACCAGACACCCCTTCTTTTAGAGTGCAAATATTAAGACAAATATACCACTTTAAGTGTGACACATGTGCAACCTGTGATATATGAAACTCTAAGACAGGCCAACCCTGTCAGTGCCCTTATTCGTCAACTGTATGATATTGTGGCCCTAGTGGTGGTGGCCTACATTTCTCAGGTGTCAAGAGCGTTCCTCTGTCCAGGAGAAGTTGGAATACACAAATTAATCTGCATTCGGCTTTATGGCCAGGACTCATGTCACTATATTACACATATATATGCATTATGTTATATTTAAAAACAAATCACACTTGAATACCAGTATTTTACTCAGTAGGTTAGTGTAGTTACAAGTTAGTAGTCAAAAAGCAGTATTTTATTTTTTTTCTTTGTTTTTTTCAGTGCCTTGGAAAACTGCACCAAAGTCAAGAAAAGGATGACAGTATTCTCAAATATAACACACAAAAGATAACCAGATCCAGCCTTACCAAGCTCCTCTCTGAAGTCCAGGTATTTGCTTATTTATTTATTTATTTATTCATTTATTTACAAAATCTCTAAAATTAAATGCCTTTTAAAGGACTTAAAACATGAGCTAAGTGAAATATTTGGAGTCTATGTGAGCTTTACTACTGAGCTGGAGGAGCAGAGCAAGATCATTTTGGACAAAGTATCAAAAGCCAGCACTGGAGATGAAGTTCAATGTAAGTATGTTTATGATATCTAGCTTGATATATTTCCCTATTTAACTAAATTAAACCTATAGTTCTAGTCAGTTCCCTTGGCATGTCTTCACACTCCTCTCAGATGCGATGTCTTATGCACTGAATTAGTGTGTGGGAAATTACTCCTATAATCCTCTAATCTGACACACTACTCATCTAAAATGCCCAAGACCAGGGGCATCAGTTTAGGGGGTTAAAGGGTAGAGTTTACCCAGGGCCCAGTGCAGAAATGGGCCCCTCACAAAGTCTGTACGTGTTTTTTTTTTTTTCATTAGACAACATGTAGAGGGAGCATACTAAGATTAATTATACCCAGATCCCAGACTTTAGTGCTTACACCCCTGCCCAAGACTATTTAATTTTGCTTATCACCACCACAATGTTTTGTACAATAAAAACTCATATAAAAATGAACTAGCTGTCTTGGCATGTTTAAAACCATTGATTGACTAATTTTCCCTTACTGTTCTGTTAGATTTGCAGGCCAGAGTTTTAGCTCTTGAGTGCTCTCTAGAGGAGGAGAGAGAGCAGTGCAAAGTTGAAAGGCAAAGGAGAAAGGAGCTCCATAACACTGTAGTGGTAAGGAAATGTGATTTATAAAAATGTAAAAAAAAACAAACTCAAAACACTTTAATTTCATCCATCTGCTACAGGAGCTTAGAGGAAACATCAGGGTGCATTGTCGTGTGCGTCCCGTTCTCCCATTCGACTATCTCCAGCCCTCCACATCTGGATCAGGGTGAGTCATCCAGCTGTGACAAAAGCTTGGCCTCATGATGAACTAATTATCTGTATTCTCTATTATCTTCAGACACACACCAGTGGAGGAAGTCATTCAAGCAGTTAGTGATGTGTGTGCAGCTCTAATAATGTTATGTATTCAATTTACTGGTAATCTTTGTAATCTTATTTTTGTATTTATGGTTTCAGGACACAGTGATGGTGAACTGCATGAAAACAGGGTTGCCAGTGCAAAGCAAGATTTTTGAGTTTGAAAGGTAAAATAAAACTTAAAAAATAAATAGAACGTATTATTATATTAAGTAAGAGGTTAAGTAAACTTTTAGATACAATGTCTTATCTCTAATCTTGTGAATTTATTCGGTTTATGCAATTGCATTTTTTATTGACTAATAACTTCTTGAAAAACATGCATTTCTTACCTCTTCACAGATCTGACCTGCAACTTGCCATGTTGGTGTCAACTGCTTGTGTCCATGGAGATATAAGTTTAATGTCATGCGATGGCATATTTTAAGCAAAGCAATAACACCTCCATGGAGACAAGCAGTGTGCTGACCCTCCGCCAGAGAAGTTACATAGTTCACCTTTAATTATTAAAAAATAATCTTTTCAGAGTGCATGCACCAGAAGACTCTCAAGATTCCGTATTTGAAGAAGTCAAACCTCTCCTCAGATCTTTGTTGGATGGGTAAGTGGGAATAAACTAAAGTCACTACTATGTAAATGTGTAAATGTCCCATCTACTACACCTGATGCTTCTCCCCTTTTTAAAACATTATTTATATCTGTCGCTGTCTATTTTTATCTACAGATATAACGTGTGTATTATGGCGTACGGGCAGACTGGCAGTGGGAAGACTCACACGATGTTGGGCTCTGAGCCTCTGGAGCTGCTCTGCGGGGCTCAGCAGGAGGCGCAGCAGGGGGTCGTCCCAAAGGCAGCTGCAGAACTGTTCCGGTGAGACACTGGATACACAAGTGTTCAATGCCTCCTATACAAATATTAATAGAGAAGTATATTTCACTTGTTTAGTGTAGCAAAAAGTTCTAGCTGCTGTAAATAGTATTGTCACAATACTGTTTCAAACTGAATTCTGATACAATAAAAAGACTCAAAATCAGTTTTGATATCACAATTATAATAATAAACATGTTTTTAGACAATGCAATGTCATTTTCAACACAAAATATTATTAAAGAAATTAGAGATTTTTTTTTCATATTACTATGGATTTGTACAAGTTCTGCTCTAGATCAAGGTCATTCTAAAACATTTCAGAAAAGACACTATTTATAGTTATATGTTTTTTACAGTATCAACATTAGTTCAAATGAGTATCTAAAATTAGTATTGGTATCAATGAGTATCTGGGTATCCATGTTTTTGACAACCCTCACTCAATAAAAATAGACTCACAAATACTAATTGGCGTTAACAACTATCAAAGCTCTGAGTCAGTTCCAAAAACTGATGGAGGATTGGATCAAACGTGCTGTCCATTTTTGTCTCCAGGTTGATTTCTGAGAAGCCAACAGAGAGTCACACAGTGGAGGTGGCAGTGATGGAGGTCTACAACAATGAGGTGTTTGACCTGCTGTCCCAGGATGAGAGGGGCTCTGGGGGGCAGAGACGTGATGTTGTCACCACCTCATATGGAGAAAGCCATGTCCTTGGACTTACACATGAGTGAGATTAGTACACATCACATAACTGTTTAATATTGTTGCTATATGCTGAAATATGTTTTGGTTACAGGCCCGTGAACAGTGCAGCAGAGGTGATGCATTTTGTTAATAAAGTGTTGAAGCTTAGAGCCCACAGTCCAACTCATATCCACATGGACTCATCTCGCTCTCACCTCATCATCACTCTCACCATTTCATCCAAAAGTCCCAATGCACTGGCTTTAGGTGAGAAAAATTATTTAATCTTATGGTTTTCAGGATATAAAATATTTTGTTATACTCTGGGGGATCCAGTGTTTCTGTATCAATTATTGTAGCAAATTACCAAAGGCATTTTCACAAAGGGTAACAAGGTTATCTAGATTATCCAGGTAAGCTTGTGCAAGGTCTGCCATCTGCTTGTCTCTATTCAGATGTTATTGTTTTGCCTAGGATATTCCACAGAATGGCATTTAATGTATTTATCTCCATGATGACAAGCACAAGTTAGGTCTGTGGAGAGGCAAGCTTGCTCTCAGTAAAATTGCAGGTTTTCAAGGTATTTTTTTGCAATATAAAAACATTACTCATTGACTATATGCAAGATAGATGCTATAAAGATACTGTGCTCCACCAGAAAAGTTTCATAGTGCAACTTTAAAATGCTTACTGATATCACCAGAGTAATATTTTCACTGTTTTTATGTCACTAACCAAACTTACTTGACCTCTTAGCTCGTAGACTACACAGCACCAAGAAGGCCAGCAGAAAGCAGTTTTGGAGTCCACAGTGTCGCCGTGCTAACCCACCTGATGAGCTTCTGTTGAGCCCTGCTTCCTCCCGATGCCCTTCGCCCTCCCCATGTCCTTCCCCATTACGCTCCCCCTCACCCTGCCACAGCATCACCCAGGACACGTTCAGGACTAAACTTCAACTGGTGGACCTGGCTGGGAGTGAGTGTGTCGGTAAGTTGAGAAAGTACTTTTGTTGCCAGGAAAGTGAGAGATAATAATAGATTTGGGAAAAATACATCACCCCGATGGATATACGTATGCAGGTGCCAGGAAGATCCGGCAAGAAAGTGTGAGGGTGTGTGAATGAGAGAAGGGAGAGAGAGTGCATTCATTGTATAAGGATTGCTTCAGGGGGTTGATTGAGAGGATAAGTTAGAAGGTGTGTTTGGCAATTAATAAGATATGTGATTTAAAGTTTCAGAAAATGATTTGAAATAAACTTATGGCTACATCTGATGAGCCCCAAGGACACGTTAAATCTTTTTATATTATTTTAGGGAGAAAATGTATGGGAAGTTTACTCAATGGCTTACTAGGCAGTTGAGTTCTGTACAATTAGATGTACACTTTTGCTTAATCTACAGACTAAAATATGCTTAAGGTCAAGTAAATGTTGTGGTTAATAAAATAAAATGAATCATCTATTGCTGATCATTTGACTTCATTGTCCTAGTGAAACTTTGCCTTTGTTCTCATCAGGTTTGTCAGGTGTATCAGGCCCAGGCTTGTGGGAGGTGTCCTGTATAAACCGCTCTCTCTGTGCTCTATCTGATGTCCTGGGAGCACTGGCTGAACATAGACCACACATTCCCTACAGAAACAGCAAACTCACACACCTTCTTCAGGATGCCATAGGTACTGTATATATTTTCATTTACCAATAATTTTATCTTACATGTTTTATTTGAATTATCTGCATTATTTAGCTCAAACTCACAACTACAGATTTGTCTTATTGTGTTCCACCAGGTGGCGATGCTAAGCTGCTGCTGATGCTGTGTGTGTCTCCCACTCAGCACTTCGTCACTGAGTCCCTACAGTCTCTGAGCCTGGGGTCTCGAGCTCGTCAGGTCCAGAAGTCTGTGCCACGGAGGAAGAATAACACACTTCAAGTTTAAGTGCAAAATATGATAAATATGATACAAGTTTAAAACACATTCAAGTCTGACTACAAGATACAGCCTTTACTTAAGTTTGCACATGTAACTGTTCCAGTGGAGATCCAACACCTGCTTATATCCATATAGATGTTACTGGTTTGCTTGGAATGTTCCACAACATGGCATTAAAGATATCTACCTCTTTGGAGACAAGCAGGTGAGAAAACAAGACCAAGTTACAGGTCAGAAACGTGACTCCACACAATGTAAGAATAAAATGATAGAGCTATAGAAACACTTGTAATCAAATAATATCAAATAGATTTTATAATGTATTGTGGAACATTCCAGGCAAACATCTCCATGGATACACGGTGACAGACCCTTGACCAAAAAAGGTACATGCTAGCAATACTGTCACTGATACTGAATGCATTTTATTGGCAGTGAAAACTACTTTGTCATATAAATCAATAGAGCTAGTTTAAAAAGACCAGATCACCAGTACTGCAGTAAATGTGATACCTAGTTACCTAGTTAGTGAAGAAATATATTATGTAATGTTGTAAACACCTCTCCAGTTTTGTGTTCTGTTCTACTAAAAGCTAAAGCCAAAAGGTTGTTGCCATTTACAGAAGTGATAACATACAGTATCTTCTTATGTCTGTTTCTGGTGAGTGGAATCCAGTAATTAAAACAAGTTTAAAGTCTTGTGTGATTACGTCTTCCTGCTTAAATATATGCTCTCATTTTCCACAGCAGCACAGCCTCTGCCTCTGTGTAGATAACACTGTGCTGGGACCGCTGGCATTAAGGCTCCTTTTTACTGCCCGTGATTAGAAGCAGTGGGCAGGAGAAATGCACAGTCACAACCTGAGAGGCTCTAAATGTGAATGTCCACACAATCACAGTGAAGAATTGTGTTTTTGAGCAAATGGCATTAGAAGTTGACTACAGGTTAATCGGGCAATTTCCTACAAGGTGAAAACTCTGGTCTCCACTCAGCGTGAGAACAGTGTATCGGGTAATTAAATCTCTATTTCAACAGGGCTCCCCTAAGAGGTAAAGCAAACTTTATTAGGGCAGTTTGTACTACAATAAATTATCTATTATTACTGCAGCTTTAAGCTAAAGCAAAGCTGCAGTTAAAACAGAACCTTTATTCTATTATCCATTATTCTGTTATCATCTATGTAACCTTTCTGATCGAGGGTCTGCCACCGGCTTGTCACCATGGAGATGTTGTATGGTATGGTGTTGTACTTACCGTATATCTATCTTTCTATATTCAATTATAGAGATTTTTATTGTTCAAAAACACCTTGAAAAACCTACATTCTAACTGTGAGTGAGGTTATCTCACCACAGATCTGACCTGCAACTTGCCCTGGTTGTGTCTTCTGTTTGTCTCCGTGGAGATATATACATTTAATTTCCTACTGTGGAACATTCCAAGAAAAGCAATAACATCTTCATGAAGACATGAAGGGTAACGGACACTCTACCAGAAAAGTTACATAGTGGACCTTTTAAAGGAGAAAAAACAAGATCAGATGAAGAGTTGAGAAGACTGAACATTAGTTTTTTTTTATTCAAGCAAACTGTTACAGTCAACAGTTACATAAGTTACAGAGTTTACAGTTTTGAACCTCTGTCTTTTTTGTTTAAACAATGGTTTCTGTCTCATTGTATCCCTTTTCTTCCCCCCCCGAACATAGAAACAGCAAATCCATACAAGCGCAGGCAAGTTAAGTAGTAACAGCACAATTACATTCATCAACTCAACAATACGAACAATAAGGCAAGAAGAAGAAAGAACGAACAAGATATGGCCAACATTTTCTTTTGAAATGAGCCAAAAACAAGGCCTATTTATGCATCATTTTCTTGTCACAGCCTCAAGGCAGTTTCACGCTGAAAAACTGTTTATTTTAAACCAGAAGTTTGGTGTTAGCGGTAAACGGGATCTGGGGGAGGAGCTGCCTTTGGATACTGAGCGGCATTGGTCAGATTAGTTATGGATAAATTATCTGTTAAGTGTCAGACATTGAAGTAGGCAAGAAATCGCATGTGAATCTACAGCATCTTATCTCTTCCCTCTGTAATAATGGCATCGAAGGATAAGAGCTTAGTAGAGTAGAAAAACATGGCTCAGGATTAGTTTAATGACAAGATGAGCATACCAGAAAACACCATCCCACACTGACAAAAAAACAATCTCTCTGCATGTTACATGTTTTAATCTGAATAAGTTGTTAAATGATGTAAAATGTAATTAAAATTCATTATGAAACACTTGAACACACTTATATTGTGGAAAAATATTTGTCTTATTTTGATTTTGGATGAGACACAAATTGCTCAAATTTCTTAGGACAGGGGCAAAACATTGACTGAACAAAGATCCTACTAATGAAAAATAGATGTGCAACTTGGTACATACATTTTCAAATTCAACAATTCAATGTCATTAATTACATGTACAGCAGAGTAACAATTTGTCATTTGTTTTTCATAACCAGTGTTGTTGCCAAAATTATCACAGCTTCTCTCAGTGTACATGACAAGCCAAAGATAGGACATGTACTGATTTAACACCTGGTATGCACATTTGCTGTGAAAATGTTTTCAATGGAAATGGCTATTCTATTCAATTACATTTTACACTCAACTTATTCAGAATCATATTGTATTTTCCCAGACAAACTGACCCAGGCAAGGGGATATCCACATGTATATGGCCACAGCAACCATGAAATACTCCTTCATTCCCATCCATACAACAATAACGTACCAACACATTGACACATTCCTGTATTTGCTTGTTTCTTGGTGACAAAGTCAATCCTGATAACAAGCATGACAACTCAACTAGAAATACTCTTAGCTGATCTTCAATCAGCGTTCATGGAGTTTGTGTAAATTACTGGCCCATTTCAACCATAGTCTGTAACTTAATAAAAAGGTAAAAAACTTAAACGGCACTCGTAACGCCACCACCTGCCACAAGAGGGCAATGTGCTGTGAAAGGAAAGCTGCAACATGCCTTCAATTTTCCTTTCGCAAGTCTTTTTTTAAATATAGACACACAGACATGAAACCAAAACAAATGGGCCTTCAAACCTAAATCTTCATGTATATTAAGAGTTAGTAGGATTTCATCACAAGAAACCCAAGATAAAAGTTGTGTGGTAGTGCAGAAATCTTTTGGACACCAAGGAGAGCAAGAGCACAGGGAGTCTCCTCAACACAAATCACATCAAGACAGATGACAATACACGCTCCACAGAGGAGAGGCCGTCAACAGAGTGTCCTTCTGTCTGTAATGGATGCGACATACTGAGGGGTCATGTCAAGGGCACTCAGGGCAATTACTGTCCACTACTGCTGCCCCGATCACTCCATCCAGTCTCCCTCATCAAACTCAGACTCGTCCTCAGAGTCGGAGTACTCCACGGCGATGCGTCGGGACAGAATAGTGGCCACATCATTTCCAACACGCTCGTGCTTAGCCTCCTGCTCTCGTTGTTCCTCCACTTTCCGAAGCTGGATACCTACAGGAGCACAAGAGCCAACATTGTAATGGACAATGTTGTAGTTAAGACCAATCAATGTTGGCAGTTAAGACCAATCAAACAGAATAATAGTAATCACAATAATAAATAAGGTAAAAAATATGAAGGTTCGTGTAAGACTAAAGCACCTTTTCTGATGGCTTCTAGCAGCACACTGCGTGCATCACTGATAGGGGGTAGGTTTGCAGGGTAATGCCTCTTGGGAACCCCATCGTGGGTAGCTGCGTGGACTTGTGGAGATGCCATGGCTCCTGGAGGGGGACAAGGAGACGAGTTGCGGGCTCCAGGCTGTGGCAAAGGAGGCGGAGGAGGGGGTGGGGGTAGAACAGTACCATCTGAAGAACCCAAAGGTCCCATGGCTGACTTGTCCATGCCCTGATGTAGACGAGCGGGGGATGAGTGGAGAGGTGGGGCGATTGGTGGAGGAGCAGGATGCAGCACCCCTGGAGCGATCTGCAGAGGTGCAGGTGGAGGTGGGATGGCCGGGGGCTGCTGCACTGGCAGAGGAGGGATTGGGGGAGGAGTGCCCCGCAGACCAGCAGAGGGCAGTGGAGGGGGAGGAGGGGGCAGGGGGGGAGGAGGAGGAGGAGTGTTGTTGAGACCTCCTGTCCGAGCTGGAGACTGAGGCCTGCTATCCGAGAAACCTGAACCAGAGCTAGATGAAGAGACAAAAGGTACGAATTAACAATCATGTGTGGATGAAAATGCCTACGTGCATAAAGACAGTGGGGTAAAGATCTTAAAATAACATCACTGCACCTCCTGCACAAAAAGCTTTAATCAGTGTTTGTGTGTCTATACAGTCAACTTTTTTTAACTTCACTTGTAAAACAATAGACCACTGCACCAGTTCTTCAATAGCACAGCACATTGCACAGAAGTCCTCTGACATGGATGGAGTAAAGTGTAAATTGGATTGTATCAGAGCCCTTAATATACACTGCATCCACCAACACCAGCCTGTTACAGCAGCCATAGCTTCAAAGAAAAGTGTATTGAATCCCACGCCAAATGTCAGAGGGACTTCAAAGAGCAGAGGCAGACAAAGCTGTGATGGAGGTCTGGAAAAAGCAGAGCAGGGATGACTTTTGGAGAACTCAATTAAATATTTCTCCTCCTCATGCCTAAATGATGTCTGTATTGCTTCAATCAGAATGACTTAAAATATCTTAGTTTATCACTGGACCAATAAAACTAACCAAAAGATAGGCATTGTCATCTCACCTGAGAACAGAGGGGGCCTTGATGTCTCCCATCGGGTGCATGGGGGGTGGAGGGGGCGGAGCATCATGGGGTCGTGATGAGTACATTCGGTCTCCCCTGTTGAGCAGCTCGTTCATCTGGGTGTAGGGTAACGCCGCCAGTGAGAATGTCCCATCCATGTGCTCCGTGTAGACCTGGCCCCTGGAATCAGGCACAATGATGCACATGTTTTAACACCTTGTATGCAGATTTGCTGTGAAATATGTATCAGTAAAAAAGGCTATTCTATTCAGTTGCTTTTTATTCAGAACTGTATTGCATTTTCCCAAACAAACTGACCCACACACACAATAAACCACATGGTAGGAGATAAGGTGGGATAAACACATTAACTGGTAGAGCATTACTTATAGTGTAAAATAATTATTTTCTTGAAAAGTAATATATTTTGGGACATTATTGTCACACATGCAGGTGCTCCTATGAATATCAATTAGTTATTATGAGCAAAAATAATGCTATGTTAATGGTTTAAAATGTAGTGAATAAAATTACACTTAAAATATAGGCCACTATGTAGATTATTATTTTTTAACACCAAATACAGTTGAATATATATTTATAAAGATGAGACTATATATGTGTATTTTCCGCAAACAAAATTAGACAGAATAAATTGATTTCTAGTAGCAGTCCAATTACAAATCAAGCAGCAAACTGCTCACTGTCCTCTTCAATCATTACAATGTATATTTTTACATGCTATATGAGAATACTATCGAGCCGTCATGGTCTGAATAAGATCACGATGTCATGTCCTAGAATGGCACTAATTAGTCTGCAATAGATTTTTGATTAATAGCATCGACTGACGTGAAAATGGCTGTACATTGAGTGGCACTGGAGACTTGCAGCACAATAAATGTAATCATAACTGTGAGGGATTCTAATCAGCGCTGCCAAGGCCACGTTTTCTCACTGCAAATGAAGTGTAAATTATAAGACGCGATTGTTGGTGAAGTGGGACCAATTCAGCTTTGCAATGACAGATTTCACCCTGCGAACGAAAACATATGGCAGAACTTTGAGCTTCAGGTAACTGTACTGATGGGGAGATTGCTGCCTGCCTGTGTCCAAGCACATTGTTTTGGCTAAATTCTCACTACCTCTCTTGCATAATTCTGTTTCAGGTATTCTCTACAGATCTGACCTGTGACTGGTAATGACACCTACTTTTGTGTCATGAAGGTGAATAAAATTAATGCTGTACTAAAAAATCATCGTACATTAGGGCATTTTAACTTGATAAATTTGTGATCAAGTTTACAGAACATGGTTGAAGTTATGGTTAGGGTTATGGTCGCATTGCACTTAAAGGTGCATTTCTGTGGTCTGCCACCTGTTTGTCTCCAGCAAATATTGCTTCGTCTAGACCAGACAATAGATCAATATAGATTAAACCTATGTATCACAAGAGAAAAGCAGGTTACAGCACTACACTACATTACAATTCAGATCTGTGGAGAGTCACCTTTAATTTCTTCACAGAATAAATCCATGTAACACCCGTAATGAATAAATGCTTGATGGATGTTTAATGTCATGCCATGTAACATTCCAGGCAAAGAAATAACATTTCCATGGAGACAAGAATGTGGTGGACTCTCTACCAGAGTAGTTGCACAATGTACCTTTAAATTTCAGGCATATTGTTAGGATCAGCATAAGCATAATTATTGCATTTGTCATTCTAACAAATTATTTGTCTAACACTTTGCTTGTTTATTACTTATCTCGGAAAGTCAAGCGTATTTGAGCTATATACTTCTGTATGTAAATCTCACTAACCTGCTGTCGTGGTAACCTGCGGACCCGTTGGCCTCTCGGTGCTTGTCGTCCGGGACGTCCTGGGCCAGCTCTGCGCCCAGTGCCAGCTTCTGCCACTCCTTTTTCCGGTCGTGAGGGGCTCGGGGCACCTTCTCAGTCTCGTGAGGGCGGTCTATGGCCTTCAGCTGTGGACAGGGAGCGATGAAGGACACACAAGACGAACACCAACAGGACAAACAGTGGACAAGATGGTGGATGAGGACAAAGGAAGAAGAGAGAAACACTTGGTTAGATATGACTGGACAACACATTATTTATTAACACTAGTTAGTTCTACAAAGTAATATGTAAAAAAAATCATGGTAATAGCTACCTAATCTGAAATCAAAATGTGCTAAGGGTGTATTGAACAATGCTTGGAAAAGTCTCTGAGTCAATACAAAAATGACAAGAAAAAAGAAAAAAAAAAGTGAGGAAAGAATATATTGTTTTGATAAGTACAGTTCAGAACTGTGAAAAACGGGTTATTCAAAAAGATCTTCTCATTCTATCTCAAGTGACACACCCTTTTAACTCACAAAAAGACAGCATATCAAATACAAAAAATATGTATTATTTTAGAGCATGATAATATTCTGAAAACATGAAAGAAGAAGGACCAAATCAAGTCTAATATTTTCAGTCTGTGTAGAGAAAGGTCATATGTCAAAGAGGACTCAAACGTTTGACAACACAATAAAAGACAGACACAGCAGAAGCAAAAATCACACAAAATGTCTTAAATATTATCTGTATTTTTTCCACATACCTGCCCTGGAAGGTCTAAGTACCTATAGACCTGATCATACATGCGGGGGTCCTGCAACTACAAAAAACAAAAAACACAAGAGAAGCACTGGGGTGAGGGGGGTGGGTTTGAAAAAAAAAAAAAAGAAAAAAAGAAAAAGAAAAACTCAAACAGCCACAACAACACAGAGTGGGTGGTGACAGTGAGGGGTGCACTATAGGTGAGGGGTGAAAAGTGAAAAAAAGAAATGCATATAAAAACACAATGGCCATGTGCTCTCAGCATAGGGGAGACACAATAATAGTATAGGGCCTAGCATACACAATTCAGAGGACTAACAATCTAGTTTAGAAAGAGACAGACCTTACTGGAATGAGAGGGGAGCCCACAGTGACACACGGCAAAACAAAAACATGCAGAGCCATCTCAAAAGTAAAAGGCAAATAGCAACATTACATACAAACGCACACATTCTAACAAAGCATCAAATTATATGAATGACACATTTCTGACAACGTTAAAAGTGCACTATCTAACATTTACTGTAATAAGTAAATGAAAGAACAGTTATATATTGCACATTTAAAATAAAACAAAACATAGTATAATCCAGTTTTGAAGCCATTAATTAAATTGAGACTTTGGAGCACAAACTCTTGCTGAATGACAGCTGATTCAACAACAACTGTTCTCTCTGGATTACTCATAGTCTGTTTGGCTGGTCCTCGACCCGGCCTCAGAGGAGGAGCGAGGGAATAATTCGGATGCTAATGTCTATTGATTAAGTTCTGATTCATCACGACCCATTATCTGTGATGAGGCATTGGTCTGCATATAGCACCCCCGTGCCTGCCTCCTCCTCTCTGCTCCAGCGTTTATAAATCTGAACCCACAAAGTCAATATTGTTTAGTTCGCACTGAAGATCCCAAAACGCTGTGTGCAAATGGGTGCTTTGGCACAAAAGGTCAAATAATTCAGGGCAGGATAATAGGTCTACTTGTATTTGTTTTGGTAATGGGCTACAACTGTACTTAAAACCCACCATTTAGTTTGAACAGATTACATTCCCACATATGAATATTTTTAAAGGTCTCATATTATGCAAAATTGACTCTTGTGAGCTTTAAGTCATGTTATAATGGTTTGTGTTTTGTTTCATTCACACGTTTGAGTATCACTTTATCATTAGTCTGTCTACATCTCTAAAGCTCAAAATGCTACTTCCCACCTTGTGATGTCATGAAATGGTAGTTTTCATGTTAATAGCTACCTTTTACTGTTTTCAGTGGAGAATGGCGATTCTAGGACTGAAATCATCCAAATGATTTTAATTAAGGTGTATTGAGTTTTAAAACACAGTGGAGCATTTCCAGTTTTACCACATGACATCATAAGGTGGAACTGAGTGTTTTCGGTTTGAGACAAGAAAACATAACAAAACTCCAGGTACATTTTTGACGCTGAATCGACATTCAACAGTGATCTGAAATAGCATAATATGAGCCCTTTAATCTAAAACAAATTGCAACTGTGGTATTTTTTAATATATCCTCATTCTAACTTAAGAAAATGCATCATAACAAGTTTCAACAGACACCTAAATAATTAGCCAGGTTGCAGTAGCTAAATGCTGTGTAAACTCCACCATCTGTCACACATATTATAAGCTAAATTTTTCACTGCAAACCAGTTTAAAGTGAGCAAGGCGGGAGCTGAGTGAGAGACGGTGCATCTGTACACGTTTGTCAGGACTTTTATAAATGGAGCTAATTTCAGAAGCTGTGGAGCCTGCGGGGAAATCTCCATCCCTCATCCCAACAGCCAACTATCAGACTGTGTGCACATCTCCAGAGTTATGGCCTGTAGAAGCCATTTAAAGTGTGTCAATGTGAGGGATGTGTGTAACTGTATTGGGCTCTGTGGTTTCATGCTGGATGTAACAGACTCAGCAGAAGTGCACTGAGGCATTATTGAGTAAAAAATAAAGCCCAAAGATGGTGGAGCTAACAGGAACATGTAAACAAGACCCCTTTCCTGACATTAACATCTGGACTGAATACACAATTGTTGCAGAAAATGTATTATTTACTAAGAAAACATATTATAATTTAAATAAATGTGTTGAATAAACCACAAAAGACATCAACCTATGCATATGTGTCATTGTTAATGATACAAATACAGCCACAGAGGGGTAGTGTAAAATTTAAAAAGTAAAAGTAGTTACTAGGGGTGTAACAATAACCCAAAATATTGTGATATCGTATCATCAAAATTCTCTCAATAATATTTTGGGCTGTCACAATATATCAAATCACAAGTTTCTTTGCTTAAATTCATTGTTATGGTGCAACAAAAAAAAACCACAGGGAACAACATCGACCATGATCCTTTGCTCTGTTTTGAATAAACAGCAGTTCCAAGCACTTTAAAATCTTAGTTCTTTGTGTAGCTACCCTGGTTTTCTTAGCGAGAAAGGACTTCACGCTTCGTACTGATGATTGTGTGTCAGTATTTATTTTCAGCACTCTTCATTAACACACCAAAACACCGTGAAAACTAAAACAAAAACAGACAGAAAATAACTTAACCTTTCATAAACACCTTTAAATAAAAACACAATAGAAACTATATTTACCGTGTTCGCCTTTACATTACCAGAGGTAGTAAAACAGCGTATTTTATCTTGATGTCCCTTTTTCTGTACACCTCTCTCTGTTTTCTCTCTTTGTCCCCTTCTCTCTTTTTGCGCTACTATTTTTTTCTTTTCTACTTCCAGGGGTAAGGCAAAGGTCACACAACTCAATACAAAAAACAATAACAGCAATATTATGACACATCTCAATACTTGAACAAATAAAATAATAACCTTTTCACGTATTACTATAAAAACAGATATATTGACATTATCGTCAGTTACACTTTGAATTAAGTCTTGTCAAGGCATTTTAAGAGGAAAAAGTAGCATATTCACAATTTTGTTAGCCTCCACAAAATATTGCAATAAATATCATACTGTGAGATGTATATTGTGATCTGGATTAGATTTGGATATCGTTACATCTCTAGTAGTAACCAAAGTTCCAAATTGTCACCAAGAGATGATTATCTGTGACATCTCCAGAAAGGATAACAACTGGAAAGTATGATCAATGTGATATTCATTTTCATTTTTTATATGTTCAGATTTCAGTTGGACATATGTAATAATATATAATAATTATGGAGTGTTCAAATAATCAATCCAAAAAACAAAACAAAACATTTTCAAAACACTTCATGAAAAATGTGTTCAGTGGATGCAAAAACTAAATAATAATTCTATTTTGGTGTTAAGATATAAAAAAGGATGAACACACTAGACCTTTAAATAGTACATCATTCCCTTATCTTCCACAGAAGTGCTGTTAGTACTGTGCTCATAGATCTAATCTCATGCTAATATGAAATGCAAACTTTCTTGTGTTACTTTAGTATAACGATGCAGTGAGGACAGTTAAAGGGGAAGTCCAGGGGCTGTTGTGTTAGGTTAGTGTGGGTGAGTGGGCTGCAGACCGCTGGGACATGGCACATGCGGTCTTACCTCAGGGAGGCAGAGGAAGGGGACAGGACGGGGGTCAAATACAAAGCCATTTGGACACATGAGATAAGGCAGATCCGGCTACAGAGTGAACACAGAATGTATGGAGACAGAGCAAAGAGCGAGAGGAGAATAAAGAGAAAGCCATAAGAGAAACTATAGATACAGACGGTCAGGGCAGAGATTAACTGCTTATAGGAAATCAGCTGTTTTCATTTTAATTGGTGAAGACAGGTGGGATCTAACAGTGAATCTAATGAAGTAATGATTCAGTACAATTTAAGTGAACTAGTTCAACAAAGAGTTTACGTAATTTGCTCTAAAATGGTCTTTCCTTGAGTCATGACTGAATAAACCAAACGATGCACACAACAATAATATCAAAAGAAGATAAAGTTAACTAAAACGTCGAGCATATACAAAAGAGCCTATTTAAAAAAAAAAAATAAATGTCCATCCAAGTCGTGCACCATCTGTCATTCACAAGTCATGGTCATTCCTTTTAGTCTATAACCTTGAATCTGTTTTGACCCTGAAACGGCTCATGTCACTGGCAATATCAGCTGTGTATCCAGTGCTGCAAAAGAAATATGGTTCTCTGTCTGTGAAAACAAAGCTATATAATAATTTTAACAGAATCATACAACTGAAGAAGAATGGGAAATATCAGGAGTAACTAAAAGTACAAAGATAATTTACTTAATATAGTTGTCAAATCCATTTAGATGAAAAAATAACAACTCACTTAATATTCTTGCAGTGTAATAATAAAACATATAGTAAACGTATGGTCAATAGCAAATACAAAACTGTTTTTGTAATAACACATATCATCTAGGCATGGGACGATATTGAAATTTTATGTCACGATTTTCATGGCCAAATTAATTGCGATTAACGATAATATCATAATAATAAATAAAGTTTCTGACAGTTTAAAAATATTATAGACATAAATTATTATAAACAACTGTTATAGTTTTGTACTTTGTTATAAGTGAAAACAACTACAATCTAGAAGAGTCCATGATCGATTTGTAGCTTTTTTCTGTACATGCTGGTGATAAAATTACGATTATCTAGCTGGCTTATGTTGGCAATTATCATGATTGTATAACATGTCCCAAGATGATTATTATCTACCTTTTTCATCACGATAAATGATATTATTGTTTAGTGTCCTATCCCTAATATCATCAAGTGCATTTGTCTGCAAACCGTGTCTGCAATACGGCGCTTCAGCAAACACTGAATGGAATAGCTCTCCACTTTTTAACCAGTGTGAGCTCTGATATAAATGTCAATGTATTCCATTAGGAGACTGTGAGTGCTGTAATCAAACAGCAGACAGAGAGAGGAGCCCGGGGGAGGCGCTGCTAATTCAGTTTGGAGTCAAGTGAGAATGAGACGCTTCCGACTTGTAGAACTGCACAGCTCCTCTGTTATTTCCACTGCACTTGATCACATAGGCTTAAGGCGGAGGCCCACAGTTAAATAGATTAGGACTTAGGAAGTTTCCTTTGCATTACCATTTACTGTTGAATCTCAAAATGGGTCTACCCGTAAGAGCATTCAGATAAAGTGCTGTACAGTGCACAAGTTTTAAACAAGACAAGTGAGAACACAGCCAAGAGTTTTCTTAAAGTGCTTATGACAGGTTTGACTACTTATTCTAGTATGCTTTACGTAACATAACTGTATTTAAGATTGAACAAAAAAATTCCTGCCTAGTTAGACAAGTTTATAATGTTACTTGTCCTTGAGGAGCACCTGTTCTGGACTTCAAACTAAGAAAAAATCCCCTGAAGCTCTCTCTCCTTCCATGTTTTTACATCTTTATTTTCTTTGATGAATGCTTAAACTGTCAGAAAAATGTGTTCCTTGAGCGCAGTTGTCCCTGCATTTTGATTTTATGCATTTATGATATAGATAAAGGGATTTCTTTTAAAGACTCAGCACTACTTCCTGTCATTTTCAACTTTTTCATCAACTTTTCTTCACAAATGTCCACCTGACTGTTTTGAAACTATAATTAATATCTGCAGACAGATTCTATTTCACCAAACAACGTAATAATTAGACAAACATGAGAACCTGTCATACTGTTATCAACTGTTACCAACTTTGATTCTGTGTTCTTTTAAAAAAGCGTACTCACTAAAAACTAATCATTGTGTTTGTAGAAACACAGAAAAAAATATAGGTCTCAACCGAAACAGCCTTTTGAGTCCAGGATTTAATGAGATATGTGGGAGAAATAAGGAGGCTCAATATCTACACTTCATTTCACGGTAGAAAATGTAACTTGGTGCACAGAGCCAATTTTATTATTACTATGTTTGTGTCCAAGAATTTCTGATCTGAAAACTCCCCTTATGACCAAAATGTAGTAGCGCATTTTAATACTTGAGTTTACAGAAATACCTGAGGTAGTCCAGTTTGAGCTACAGGCTAAATATTATTGCTTTCCTCCAAAAATGTCCAGACGTGAGCTTCAACCAACTGCTTTTTATAGAAGCAATCCCCAGTGTCAACTAGATTTATAATGTGATGTATAAGGGAAAAGAAATTGAAACCTCAAGAACATGTAGTTCTTCTTCGAATAAATCTGCTGCAGTCTTAAACGTTAAAAGATCCTTATCTCGAGAGCCTGCTCATTAATCATTTTGTACATTAACTGCAACATCACACTTTTCTTAGGCCAAGATTATAACATCTTTCCTTCATATATTCACCGCTACAAGTGGCATTCAAAACAAAAGTACTGTGATGGTTTGAAAAATCATAATTATCGTTTCATAATGAAGATGGAGATAATGCACAGATGGATATAGAAAATGTCCCTCTTTGGATGTATGGTTTGTAATTACAGAAAAAACTACAATACCACTTGTCCTTTTTCTCTAATATTGCTTCAGTGTAGAATGAACTGGATAGTGTAAATCCCAAGAAATGTATTATATGAAATTATATGATAGTAAAATGCTAATATATTCTACTATAAATTCATATTAAGCTGAAATCTTTACTTAATAAAGGCCTGGTATGTTGAGGTGGGCAGAAGTGCTGTTGGGGTAGATTGACAGCCACAGTTTTCATCAATCAGCCCTAGAGCAGCTTCCTTATAGTTTATCATGTTTGAAATGAAAATGAAAAATGGATTGTACCATCAACTACCCTAAACTTGAGATTTTTCCATTTAGCATTTTTTATACTTTATTCAATTTCACAGGATCTATATTTACAATGCATGCACTGACATGTATTTCTCAAATCCGTACTCCTTCCTGAGAACAGTTCAGTGGGGTCTGTGTTTGCCAGCTAAGCACTGTGGGAAATGAAGTGTTTTATACAAGCAAATCCCAGCCAGAGGCTTTAATAACAGTGAAATCTCTTTCCAATCTCTGCTGAAAATGCTATAAAAATGAAGAACTATATAGTTAACTTGAGCAGGGCTGTTACTTCAAAATATTTGTAGTTTTTTTCCCCCAGTATCCAGATAATGACGCAACAAAAATCTGTCTTTGAATTAGTTGAAATCAGACAAATGTGAAAGGACTGTAAATAAAAAAATACAATTACGTGCACTACTACTATTTATACTACTATTTATACTACTACCTCTACTACTACTACTACTACTACTGCAAGCCCACACACATTCACTTCCACATGAGCAGAACCTTGACCTGTCTGTGATGGACTGTGAGAAGGCAGCGTGTCTTGGCCCACAACCTGCTCCCAATTAGAGCCCGTGGATCAGAGGGCGGGAAACCCCTTTGCAGGAGGTGATTCGATTAATTTGTGTGTTTGTGTGTGCCCAAGCAGAGCGGCTGGAGAGGGGCCGAGAGGGGAGCAGATGTTGCCATTAATTAGATGTAATGATCACAGAAGCACGAGGGTCGAGCGGAGGAATGAGTATTGGCTAATTAGAGAACATGGATTTGTGATATAAACAGCATATAGCCAATAAGCTGCACTGATTCTAACTTTATGTATTATGATGCTGTTCATTATCTTCATGTTTTTGTGGATATGGTTTAGAACGAATGATTTTTAAAAGGTGCACCTTGTAACTTTTCTTTTCCCCAGCTGCTGTCTCCATGGAGATGCCTTTGCTTTGCCTGGGATGTTGCCCAGTATGGCATTAAATCTTTTCATTACAGGCAAGTCGAAGTAGGTGGCGCCGCCAAGTTAAAGGTCAGATCTTTGGAGAGGGGACTATGTTTACAGCAAGCATGTTTTTTCAAAGTTTTTCTGAGCAATAAAAACACCTGTAATGTTCTAATGCTTCATAGCGACGAGCTTAATGCCATACTGTGGAACACTCCAGGCAAAGCAATAACAACTCTATGGTGACATGTAAGTGGTGGACACTCGACTAGAAAAGTTGCATAGTGAATCTTTCAGTAATTTAGCAGTTTATAATTTATGCTTTGTGAAATTTTACTTTTAACCTTAAGCTTTTGAGTCATTTAAGCTTACAACAGCATGAAAACTGGAATATTGGCCAAGTCATGTTGGGGCAAACTTTTCAGAGGTGATACATAATGAGATCTGTGTACCTTTTGTTTTCGTCGCTCTTTCCTCTTGTCCTCTGTGTCCTGGAGCATCTTCTCTCTCCACAGGTCGAAAAAGTACGAGGGATTGGTGTAAAACTTTAGACTGTCTTTACCATCGTCCCTGTAAAGACAAAACAATTATAAAATCTTGAGCATTTTGAGCTTTGTAGACAGTCAATGTTGTGTAATATAGGAGATTTTTCTTATAGTAAAGTTTTACAGTACAGTATATAGTAAAAGCAGCTCTAAAAGTTCTTACTATTTAAACTTAACTAGCTCTGCCTTTCATGGTGGGAAAAGAGTAAAGCCCCTTTCACAGCCTTCTTTACTCACATTTCTGTGTAAATGTTTAACCAAAGTGAAAATCAAATATGCATCCAGGGTAATTAATTTGCATCTTCGTTCAGCAAAGCAATGCGCTATCACTGAAGGTTTAATATTTGATAAGAAATGTGCTTCCCTAAGGATTTAATCAAGTCAGTAATCTTCTTATTTCTAACAAGCCTGCTAAAAACAAAACAAACCTTTAGCACACTTGTATATAGACTGTGAATTATTGATTATAGACAAATATACTGGTTTATGAGAGTAGATTTATTAATAAAACATTCAACACAGCTTTTGTCTCATTCATTTGTTGGTTGTGGTCACTGGAAGAGAGAAATAAGTAACAATACAAAAAACATTGTCCAGGCTGCCATGGTCCACTCCTGGAGCAACTCCTTTGAGCAATAAACTACCTGTTGCTGTATTAATGCAAGATGGAGCAGGTACTAGACCTTTTGCCAGAAAAGTTACACAGCGCACCTTTAAAGGGCAGATATTACACTATTCTTTGATCTGTTATAATGTTGTTTCCTCATCATAAAACCACCTAGAGTAGTGTTTTCTTTCATTCACATTTATTAAACACACAAACCCTGCATGTTCAGGGTTAGGGTTCGGGTTTTTCTCGGAAAACACTCTGTTCCACCTTGTGATGTCACGTGGTAATACGGGAAGCACTAGAATCATTTGGATGATTTCAGCCTTGGAATTGACAATCTCTACTGAACTAAAGGTAAAAGGTAGCTGTAGAAAACTACAACAACATGACATCACAAAATGGAACACAGGTTTGACGATGTAGACAGAATAATAATAAAGGATTACTCGTGTGTGAATGAAAGAAAACACAACTCCAGGTGGGTTTTTGAGGAGGTAACAACATTATAACATGACTTAAAGCCCACAAGAACAAATTTTCCATAATATAGGACCTTTGAAGTAGAATAAAATCATGTCCATATCAAGTGTTATAGATGCAAGCCAACGTTAATATTAATGAAGGCACAAATTCAAGACTGCACTCCTACAAATAGTTTCCAATAAAGTTGATGTCATGACTTCAAAGACCATTTCCAGTATTGTCTCAAAAGAGTTAAAATGACTGATGTCTTCTGTACATAAAGTGAAATCCTAACTTAGCTTCTCATTTTTTCCCTCTACGTTTGTGGGAGGCAATTATTTGATGATGACACCGACAAGTGCGAGGGGAGTGAACATGAAAAGGAACAGCTTCAAAAAGAAATGAGCACACAGTTTAATGATATGCAGCACAACAAAAGGCTCGCAGATAGAACTCAACAATAGGATCAGGAATGATGGGAGAGTCTTTACAGTCACAATATGTCTGGGCTGAGAGTAGGGGGAAGACAGGGCAAGGTAACCATAGAAAAACAGGATGAAACTAAGAAAACCTATAAATAAGCAACACATAAAACATATAAAACAAATACATGAAGAAAATTTAGGCTGCAAAACTGTGGAACAATACCCAGTTACCACTTAAACAGATTTCAAATATACTTGTTTTCAAATCAGCATTCCGTTCACTACACACATTTTAAAAGGATATTAAACTAAAATACACCAAATTAAAATAAGAATCCTAAAACATTTCTGAACAGGTTTTAACAGATCTAAACTTTATTAACAGCTTTTGCCATATTACTAATACTAAAGCACGGGACCAGTGCAACCTGGGGACATCTGGTAATTTGCTAATTACCACCCCACCTCTGTGTTACTTGCAGCACATTCATATGGGATAAGCAAAGTCCGTAAATGACTCTATTTTACTGACACTGACACTAAGATTGAAAGAGAAAAGAACGTGGAAAGAAAAGAAAAAGATAGAAAAAGCTTGTAATTACAACAATGAGATGCAGATTCGCATGGGACTAGTATTATCACTGGATGTCTGTGTTTGGTGAAATATAGTAGGTAATTTGCGCCAGAATTTTTACTTTACTTTTACAGACATGACGCATTTGCACAGGATTAAAATCTCAGGCATCCTCCACAATTATTACAAATCACCAAAGGTCCACAGGTTATACTAATCCCGTGCGAACAGGTCTTAAGCCAGGCATGTCCAAACTATGATGACGAAGACAAATTTTTCTAGGCCCTCAAGCTTCAAGGTGAATTGGCCCATATTACCTTAAGCAGTACCAGCACATGCTTTTGAAAATCTTGTTAATGCAAATATATCAAATGTTTAGATTGCGGATCTAAGCATGAATAAAGGTCTTGTGGCTCATTCTAACCTATTAAAAATACACAGAATGTCTCTGTACTCAGTCTATGACCCTTAACTTTATCTGTTTTGATTTGTGGCCCTTGATGAGAAAAAAAGTTTGCAATCCCTGTACTAGGCGAATACTTATAGTTTTTATATTACATTTTTAAACTTTACAACAGCAATAAACAATGTCACCTAACCTCACTATCAAAAAGCAGTGTGGTATAGTACAAAGCGTGATTCAAAATGTGTGGAAGATAAACAACAACTGCAAAGCTACAAATATAATTACTATGAAACCACTTTGTTACTGCCTCCCTCTGTCCTCTGAATCACTGTCTCAGAACACGCTCAAGGCAAGCCAGCCTCCGAATGCAGGAAGCAGTGTGTGGGAACCGACCTGGAGCCTGGCCATGGATTTTTAGTTACATTTAATTATCCACTCGACCCCCCCCTTCCCCCTCCCTTGGTAAATAACAAAGTGTGCTCTGGCCTTGAGCAAATCCAAAATAAGAGGAAAGGAGGAAGTCCAGGTCTCTGCTACCTCTCCTGCGGTTAAGGGGCACGTTCAAGCCTTAGAGAATATTATTACCATCACTGTAGATTAAATAGCACTGCACTCACCTGTGTCTCAGTCTCTCAGAACACCCAGGCTAAATGACAACGGGTAAGAAATAAAGTGGGAAAAGCTTTTATGGTTTCCTCAGCTCAGTGCTTGGAAAAATTGAGATGTGTGAGATGAAGGCATATGGAGTAGCTACAATTATCTGTGAGTATTTACATGAGCTCATACATTAATTCCACCATTTATTAAGGCTATTTATGCATAAAAAATACACCAGAGCAAAGTAAATATGTGTATAATTTGCCCATCTACTGCAACATATTTATTATGTATTTTTTATTAACATTACATTAAATATTTGATTATCATGATTAAAAATGCACTTAGAAAGACAATGTAATTTCCTAACCTTCCTCTATAACTGTGTCAAAACTCAAGCCTATGCAAAAACATTTAAGCAAAAAATTATAAAATTCATATATTACATCTTGACCACCATATGTGTGAGTATAACAATCCAAAATGCAACTGAATTTTGCATATACACAGAGTAATATGATAAAAATAAGCAAGTCTTTTTTACTTGTAAGTCCCAGAGTGTTGAAAATAAATGGCCAAAATGAGGCAAGTATGATACAGACCTGTAGGGGGTGAGGATGTGGAGGGGTGGGGGCTGCTCACACGTCTCGTAGGTCTCCTGCATTGGTACAGGCAGAGACGTGCGCTCAAACAGCTGCTGGTCCTGAATGGTGGAGCTCCTAAACGCCTTCCGCATGGTGATGTCCTGAAGTGACACTGCAAAAACACAAAATTAAATTAAGTTTATATGAGCCAATCAGACAAATTCTACGTTGAGCGATGATTTAACGGTGCATTATGGTTTTCTGGTGGAGGATCCATCACTTTAACCTTGCACAGCATGGATTCTTGCAACATTTGTGAATTCACAAACTCAAAGATAATCCATCTTGGCATGCACCAGCTGGTACAGAAGGTAAGGCTTTGTCCATTTGTGGACAGGGAAGATCTCTGTACTTTTTTCTCTCGGATGTAACAAAAGTTTGATTTTTCATGAAATGCTGGCTTTTCCTGGAATGGTCTTTCAGTTATTAAATTCTAGGTAATCTTATTGACAGAAAATACTTGGCTTGGTGCCGTTTGTCTCCATGGAAATTTAAAAACATACATAGTGCCCAAAAAATATAACTTTCATGTAACTTTTAAATAAAATTTCCAGCTTTTTATAGCTTATAGACAGTTTTCCCCAACAATATACTAATTTATCTATTTAAAGCAAAAATAGTAATAGTATCATGTATAGACAATTCATCACCCTGCCATATTATGTCATTGTCATATATCACTCAACATTAATACGACAAACACCATTAGAACACCCTCTGATGTTCATGAGCTCATTCTGCCACGCTAGGCTAACTGGCTCATTTCAATTTCCCTTCAAGCTTAGCCACATACGAGGAGATAAGCACTGGGGTCATCTATCAGAGGCCACACTCCCAAACAGATGACATTTTCTGCAAGGCTTGAGAATAACATGAGAAAATCAATGGCGTTTCAAATGGGCTGTAGTGGCAAAAAATGCTGGGAGCAGAAATACAGACTAATGTTAGCCTGTGAAAGCATAGCCTCAGAAGAAGAAATGTGGTGTTAAGCGAATGTGAATTAAACATGAGAGGGTGACAAATGCATACACTTAACTGCTGCTCAGGGGAAACCGGGAAAACGTCACCTGTCTTGTTGAAATTACTGTAATAGCGTTTTGTTTGTGAAGACAGACGTGACAACTATGAGGCTAAAAAATAATGTTTGATAAATGTGAACTCCAGTATGTTCTGTAAACAGCATTTTTACAAGATGTATTTTTTTCTTTTGGGGTGTAACAGTGACAGCAAAAGTAGTAGTTGGGCTGCTTGATTAGGGAAACTCATATTCACATTTCATAATTGAAATTCAAATTTTTGAAATAATTATTTAAATAAGTACTAAACCTATATATTACTTTTTGGACACTCAAAGACAAAGCCATTGCTTAAAGGGACAGTTCAGAATTTTGGACAAAGGGCCTCATTTCCTTGTAAGCCAGAGCAAGATGTGTGGAGACACTTTTTTATTCCATCCAGTCCTTCTATTTGCAGAGGTCGCTGGTGTTAGGCTAGTGCATGTCAATGGCCATAGTTAGCCTGCTGCTAAAAACAGTCTTACCTACTCCACAAAGCACCTGAAGCAAATCTGTTATTACACCAGTCTGTCGACGTAAATGTCTGTGTTGATAGAATAATGTCTGAAATAAAACTAACCTTGCATCACATGAATCATCACATATTGAGGGACTATTTTCTCATATATCAGTCCACCACTGCTAAACTTTCTATCAGCTGCTCAGGCATAAATCCTTCAAATGCAAGGCTGGTTTTACTTCTAAAATTATTCTATCAACTGGATGGAATATTTTAAAAAGTGTCTCCACATGTCTCCAACACTCTGTCTCACTAGGAAATGAGGTCCTATGCCCTAAATTCCGAACTGTCCCTTTAAGCAATGGCCTTGTGTCCAAAAAGTAACATATAGGTTTATAAGTCCTATATGAGACAAAATTTATTCTTGAGTTTTAAGCCACGTTATAATGTTGTTACCTAATCAAATCATACCTGGAGTTGAGTTTGTTTCAATCACACATTTGAGTAATCTTTTATTATTAGTCTGTCCATATCTCCAAAGCTCAAAATGCTTTGTTCCACCTTGTGATGTCATGAAGTGGACGTTTTCAAGTTAACAACTACCTTTTACCTTTTTTGTTCAATACAGATTAGCAATGCCATGACTGAAATTATCCAAATGATTCTGAAGAAGAGGTATGGAGTGTTTTCTGTTTGAGAGAAGAACTCAGCCTAAATATGCATGGTTTGTGTGTTAAATGTGTGAATGAAACAAAACAGAAATCCACGTATGTTTGTGATGAGGAAACAACATTATAACAAAGATCAGAAAAGAGCGTAATGTTAGCCCTTTAATGAATTATTATTTTATCAGAGGAAGACTAGAATTGTTATGTCATATTTTGTAATCGTTCTGCAAGTTTTGAGGGCAGAACACTTTTCCAAATTATTCAAAGCAGAATTTTATCAATTGTTTTTTTCAATTACACAGTTTTTTGGAGTTAAAATTTTATTATTTGCACTGCCATAATATGAACAAATGTAATGTAGTAGTTGGAGGTAGAAGACGTAGTATAGGCCTAATGGTACAAACATAGTAGTAAGTTGAGCACTTTTTTCCATTACTAATACTGATTAAGGTAACATACTTTGCCTCCCTCTGATACACAAGCCTTATGTTCTTTTGCGGTAATGACTTCCACAGACTATAGTGAAAATCCAGCTGCATTCAGGTCAGAAGTGTTGTTTTGCCTTAGTAAGGAGATATGGTGAAGGACACAAATAAAACACAAGCGTAATGACACTCAGCAGACACAACTAGGGCACAGTAATGCAGAGAAAGAAGATTATATGCGACATTTGGGTGGAATAAAAGTGTAAAAAAAAAAAAAAGGCAGATAAAATGAAGCAAACCTAATGACCCAGGAGGAACAGTCAAAACACACAAAACATTAGCCTGTGAGATAAATGTAAATGAACTTTCCCACAGAGCAGTGAGGAGAAGGGGGTATAGCTAACCAAAGAAACTTCTCATCTTTATACACTGCTGTTAAATAGAAGCATAGCACTGAAATAGCACAGGTATCAGTTAGGTCTTATATTACACAAAATTGACTCTTCTGAGCTTTAAGCCATGCTATAATATTGTTACCTTATCAAAAATATATCTGGAGTTGTGTTTTGTTTCATTCACACATGCAATCCTTTATTAATCCTCCACAGTCTACATCTCCAAAGTTCAAAATACTCTGATCCAGTCTGTAATCTCATGAAGTGGTAGTTTTCAAGTTAACAGCTACCTTTTACCTTTTTTGAAATCATCCAAATTATTCTAGTTAAGGTGTACAGAGTTTAAAACACAGTAGACCTCCACATCCTGTATTACTGCACAATATCGCAAAGTGGAACACAGGGTGGAGTGTCTTCTATTTGAGAGAAGAGCACAGCCTAAATATGCAGGGTTTGTGCTAATGTGTGAATGAAACAAAGCACTACTCCAGGTATGTTTCTGATGAGGAAATAACATTATAACATAGATCAAAATAATAGCGTAACTTGGGCCCTTTAACATCATGCAGTGTAATTTGAATGGGCAGCAATGGTTTTTGATTGGTTCAGGAAACCCATGTGACATTTGTGTTATTGATTGACTGGAGAAGGTCAAAACTAAAGGTCAGTATTTTTCTTGAAGTCTTTAAAGCAATTTACAAATGAACAGCACAGATTTATGAGAACACAGACGAAACATGTGGTTCAGAGAAAGTAGAGAGCTTTGCACCTTTCAGCACATTAAAGGTTAATTGTATGATCTATTGGCTGCAAGCTCATTTGTAGATAGGTTTTTCTTACAAATCATACATGGTCTTATTTCATGTTTCCGGATTATGAAGCTGTTGCAATGAAGTGTTGCTGTGAGAAGAACAGTGTTATGGCATAGAGATCTACAAGCCTTTAATAAGCCAGTAGGAAGCAGAGACAGAGCATGGTGTCAAAATGTATTTGATTTAGTGCATCAGTGTGTGCAGAGACTGTAATCGAGGCAGACGGCAACACCAGTCAGTTCTATAGTAAAAGACAGATTTCAACACCCTAATAAAGGGAGGTAAGAAAGACTTATTCTGCAGCTGTAAGTTGTAAAATTTAAAGTTCAAGTTGTAAAATGTCTTTAGACACACACTTCTTACTGATTGCACTTTCTAATAACACAGACATTATGAATTTAGCTCTGTAAAATGTATAAAATAAATAACAATCATACAGCCATACATTTGAAGTTGTAATTTATAGTGCAATAATGGGGTTCAACTTCCTGTTATGGGCAACATTCTGAGAACTTGATTGATCAAACAGAATATTTTATACTGAATTATTAAGATAAGATAAGATAAGATAATCCTTTATTGTCTCCCATGGGAGAAATTTGTCTTGGGACAGGGGGTAACATGTTTTATCAAAAAACAGGACAACACAACACAAAGCAGCACATAAACAAACACCATAAAACAAAGTAAATATGAGACCAGTATGACCACGAGTGATGCACCAACAGGACCCTTAAATTATCCTTAACAGGCAAACCCTTGCATTCTTCTGTTCTATTAATTATTGCACATTCCCTAAGCCTATGTGCAGTTTTAGTTATAATTACTGCACATTCCCTAAGCCTATGTGCAGTTTTGATTGCACATTCCCTAAGCCTATGTGCAGTTTTGATTGCACATTCCCTAAGCCTATGTGCAGTTTTAGTTATAATTAATTGCACATTCCCTTAGCCTATGTTCCATTGTCTTAATTGCTAAGACAATGGCACTAATTGCTGCAAAATGTTCATCAAACTTTCAATTTCTCAAAGCCAAGAAAAGTTCTCAAAAGTTTCATAAAACTATAGTCTGATTCCTCTCAGTCATCCTCACTAGAAACACAGTGCCTTCTCAGAACAAACCATAGGTCAGATTTTTCTGCATGCAGCCCTCACTTCTGAAATGCAAATACTGGCCCATATTTCCCCGGTGCAGCCCTGAATCATCACGTGTCTCCCTCTCCTTCCTTTCCTTGTGGCTAGTCCTATGCTCATTTTTATGGTAGACAAATGATATGGGCAAAACCTTAATGGCCAAGCTCACATTATAGATAGACTAAAACACAAAATAAAGGAGCATGGGCTACATGAAAAATGGTTTTGAGGTCGGGGTGATCCGCCTGGTTCTGTGACCCATCACGATGGCCCACAGTCAGTGCAGTGCTGTAATGGTGCTATTAAAAGAAGGCCATAGGCCATTAGTTTGGTTGGCCGCAGTGACAGGGCCAGAGTACACAAATAGCATCCTCATACAAGATAGAGCCAAGCAGCAGATCAATCAGAGGAGGTGGAGAGAGGTCAGGAGACAGTGTGTGAAAGGGCACTGTGGGGGACGGTGGCCTTAGAGGGATAAAAAGGACAGAGTGGACAAGGTGAGATGATTGAAGGTGCACAGTGCAGCTCTGACCTCAGCGAGAGCACATGATAAAGCACGGATCATTCGAGAAATGTTCTGCCCTTCCTGTTTGAACCAGAACATCCACTTAAGCAAAGGGATGAAATGATAGCCTCCCCGTAGTTCTGGGTTCAATCCATAGACTGTATAAAGAAGTGGCCTAAGGGAGATCACCCATACTATTCAGCTCCAGTCAAATGAAGTTTAGGAGGCTATTGAACGGTTATAGGGGCAAATTTGGAGCCAAGTTCCATATTAGGAATAGGAAGTTATATACAGACGAAATAGCAAAAATAATAACATCATTATCACATAAAGTGGGTTAATATGAACATTTTAAGAACAAAAAGACAAGGCTCACTGTAGTAGTTACAGAGAGAAGTGTGATAGTTTTTCAGTGTAAAATCAATTGGAAGTCAATGGAGCTGGAAGCACCCCCATGCCCTCTTATTCGGCATGTGGTGACTAGTGGGTTAGCTGTCCATTTATATACAGTCTATGATTTAATCCCCTCTTGACTAACTACAGTCACATGCATGTTGAACATAAAATGACCTTGGTGAATAGCTTAATAACTTTATCAATCATTTTACTTTTTTTTGTGAATAAAATACTATTTCTTTTCTTTCACTAGCCAAGGGTTTACATCTATTCTTTTCTTCAAGTAAAGCACACATTTTGGAATGTGTTTCTATTAATATGAAGGACAGCAACATTTTTTATACAATTTTGCATAAAAAGGAAGAAAATTGTTAGATGTTAGAGAACCATTCAGACAAGATTTAGAGACATACTAAGTTGACATACCATAAGGCTCATGTAATTTCTAACTGGAGCTCAACAAATGAGCTCCAATTACATCCAAACAGAACACTGGGACTTGTAATATTGTTGCCATTGCAGTGGACAGCTTTATTGAGGTTTAGCAGTGAAGCTTGGAGACATTGGGCGGACAGTATCGGCTCCACTCTGACCAACCCCCATCCTCCCCCATCTTCCTCCTATCTCCATCCGTCCGCAGCCCCTGATTTATGGAGCAACTCTGCCCGCACTCACTCTCCTCTCCTGCTCAACAACCCAAAGACACCACAATGGAAATTACCATGTGAGGGAAATGCTGCGCTAAAAGGTTATAGCGCTCATGTTGTATACTTGAGGTTTAAACATAATGGGTCCTGAGGATGTAAGGTAGAAACAAAAATGTGAATTTGTCTTACCTCTTTGAACTCAATGACTAATGCATGTTGGAGCCTTTATAAATATTTGGTGAAGTATAAAGGAAAGGTTTTAAATGATAGACTATTTCATGTTGGGTGCTTTTGATGCTTAATTGGCCGTTTTTAATGGTACCGTATGCCTGTCTGTGTGTATGACTCAAAGCTGATTTGTAAAATGTAAAATGTTATACACAGAGAATAATTTGTGTAGTAAGTTAAGTTTTAAGGTTACACTTTTACACTCTAGTTTGATCCTGGTTTGAAGCCAATTTAATCGTCATTTGGTTATAGAAAATCAGATATTAATTGATAATAAAACTAATACTGAAACTAGATACTTACTCGAGCAGGCATCGAGCAGAAAAAGTTATATTTACAGGACAGAAATGAACCTTTCGTGAATAGCTCTGAAATGATTTTGAGACCACTATGGAGCATACCTGGATGACTGAGGGATTACGCAACCATAACACCACATAGTAATATAAAAGAAAGTGCTATTATTTGATGTTAAGAATCTCATTGTATTGTCTAAAAAAAGAGTTAGAAAAAATTATTACCATGGTATCGGAATCAGTTTTGAGTATCAAGTCAATTCCTTATCGAAATCAAGAAACTCTATTCTTCTTGTGGCCTTGGTTTGGTTTATTCTTGATGTAATCCTGATTTACCTCAACTGGTCTCAATTCATGTTGATTTAACAATGAAATCCACAACTTTTGACTGTTATGATATGGGAAATGTCCAGTGCGCTCTCAATGGAAAACCTGCATTGTGGACCATTCAAAGCTGGCCCAGAATACGCTGCGGTACAATCCCTTTCCAGTCCAGTGAGTTTGCTGCAGTGCCCCTTTAGACGCACTCATCCTTCCTCCCTTCCTTCTCCTCCTGCTCTCCAGATGATCCTTATCCACATGTTCAAGGCCATAACACAGGCCTAAAGGGTAAACCGGAACAGTAAGGAAATACACTACAAAAAATATTTAGTAATGCGACTACCGGTAGTTAAGATTTTTTTAAAAAGGTCCTGAATTACACAAAATTGTCTCTTGTGACTTTTAGTCATATTAGAATGTTGTTACGTCCTCAAAAATATACTTGGAGTTTTGTTTGACTAACCCTTTATTATTAGTCTGTCTACACCCCTCAAAATCTCCCTTGAGATGTCAAGTTAACAGCTTCCTTTTACGTTTTGTTCAGTAGAGATTGGATGATTTTAGACCTGGAATTGCCAAACGATTGTAGTGAAGGTGTCTGGAGTAAAAACACAGTGGTGCACTTCCTGTATTACCACATGACTTCAAAAGGTGGAACAGAGTGTTTTGCATTTGAGAGAGAATTCAGCCTAAACATGCAGGATTTCTGTGTTAAACTTTTGTGACTGAAGCAAAACACAACTCCAGCTACGTTTGTGATGAGGAAACAACATTATAGCATAGATCTGAAAATGGTTTATTTAAATGATAAATCCCGAACAACGTAAGCGAAAGAATTGTGGTTGTCAAAACCCGCTGCTTTTCGTGCTATGCTCATCTCTCTAAATTAATATTATGGGATGTACTCATTGTATAAATTAAGCCTTATCCTCTCCACTGAGCTTCTGTATTTAGATTTCTATGTTTTGGGATTTAAGCAATTTGTTGACAGAATTATGACATTTTTGGAGCAGTTCTTTGGGTTATTTATACCATGATTAGCACATTTTATTTTCTATGCAGTCCTGCCTTTTGGAGTAAAAAATGGGATATTCTGGCAGTGCTGACTTCTGAACATGTGCACAGTATGTAAGTCTAAAATTGCATACTACAATAATAAGCCTTGTGAGCATTTGCCCTTCAACCTGAGCGGGGCTGAGCAGCTGAGACACGCACATGCTGCAAAACAGACTGCCACAATTAGATTAGACTCAATTATTTTGCCATTAGTGCAACATACACAGGGAGTGGAGCTAGGGGAAGCTACAGGATAGTGTTGTGTATTAAAGTAATGTCAGGTCAAGAGGAATTCAGGTGAAAATGAAAATGGATCTAGGAAATGATTAATTCTGCAACAAGATCCAATATTTTTGTAATCAGTGTGGTATCTTTTTCATGTTACCTTAATTTCAAACAGGCCTCACTGCAACATACAACTGTAGTGGGGAGAAGCACATACATTCAGCTGCATTGAGGGAATCCAGCTTTTTCATTTCTGATACCATTACTATGGATTTAAGCATCTGCTGATACCAGATATCAACCAACACCGGTGCAGAGACTAAAATTAGTATTTACTTCCTTAAAACAAAATTAAAATAAGACAAAACCTGATCCAAATGTGTTTAATTATCACTCAAGTAACGACAGAACACCTTTGTACAAATTGAAATTCAAACACTATAAGACTCTCTAAACCAAACACAATCTTATTATTACATCAATTTATATTAACCAGGATAAGGGCTGAACCAATATTTGGAAGATGATATCTGATACCAGTATTGAATTGGTACATCCCTAACTGCATTATCTGCATTAGAGGCATTTTACTGGGAATACTACCAGGATAGGCTGCCAGTTTTCCTGTTAATATACAAGACAAGATTATAGAAAATGACACTCTACACTTAATCTGTCAATATATGAATGGGAAATCTAAAATGAATACACTTTTCTATTATATATCAGGCTATAGTCTACTGTCAGCCACAACACTTATTCTCTCAAAACTAGTAAAAATGTACTAGCTTATAAAAAGACACCTCCTGAAAACCTGCTTGTATCCAGAGGCATTGTCATGTGGGGTACTGAATGTTTTAGTGTCTCGCAATGACAGGGAAGCCGTTAGACTAGCCGTGCCGTAAACACCCCGGTGGCTCATGGGAAATCGATACAGCGCCTCGGAGCGTGGCATTACACCTCTGTGATTCCCCTCTACTTTGACTTTGCAGACAGTTACCCTATCCTCAGTCCATACACTCCCACAGGGATTAAGCGGGCTATACCTGACAGTCCAGAGCATCATTCCGTTCTCATTGTATCGCTATGGATACAGTCCAAGCCTGGATCCAATTTCCTCCAACAAAAGGAAAAAAAGCTCAAGTGAAACTCCAGCACAATGTTTCTAATAGAGGCTGTGGTTTGTACTACAGGGATGAAAAATGACACCATCTCCTAGCTGCCTGTTCCTCTAATAACAGCCATTAACACTGGAGGGGGCAGGCATGGCGAGCTCTGTCCCCCACACACACGTAGAGTTATAAAGTGTATAGGAGATGCGCTTACATTCTTCTTCTTTGGGGTCCAGCTGTGTGACGCTGATGGAGAGGCGGTCCACACGCTCCTGGAGAGAGTTGACCCGGAACGAGAAGGAGTGGGCCTCGTTAAAAAGCTCTCCAAACAAGTCCTCTGCATATTTACCTGAAGCAAACACAACAAACAGACATGGTGCTGAGTGAGCCTTTGTGCTTTGTGTTGTGGCGAAAAAAAAAAAAGTAGAATTCAGGAAATGCAGGAATCACATGGAGTGAAAATCTGCAGAATAGTTTGAAGACAGATTACGGTGTGTGTATTTTCCGACAATTGCTAATAAGACATGAGTGTAATAGTTATTGAGATTTGAGGCTATTTTCTGTGCCATATCAGATGCTATGAAATAAAATATAATTCATGAAGCAAAACAAATTATGTTAAAATATGATGATAATGCAATAATCTTGTATATAATTAGACACTGTAGTGGTTCTTAGTGCTTTATTGTGTCAAAAGAATGAAAAGTGGATGTCATTAATTGTATTTCCAAAAAGCCAAAGGGCTGTACTACTGCTATCAAAATATTATTCTATTCTTCCATTCATCCTTGATAAAATCCACTATACATTATTGTCATTGATAATATCTCTAGAAGATGCTAACAAAAAGAAAAACAAACATTTGGCAATTTTTCAAAATGGAGATATCCGTTTTTGAACACTCAATGTGTACGTAACAGCAGCCTGCAATTTTTGTTAAGACATACTATCCCTAATGAAGAAGCTGACCCACTGTGCTAGCAGATTAAACCCCATGTGCACCATTATGTGATGGCTTTTACTGACTGAGGCTGCTGAGCTGGCGGATGACATTGGCCAGGGAGATGTTGGTCACACACTCCAGCTCATTCTTGATGTTTCTGGGCAGCACCGTGTGGCACAGGTGCCTGGGCTCAATGGTGCGCTTCACCAGAGGCATCCTTCTGCGGCCACGCTACCTGAAGAGAGACACAAAAGAGGAAAATACAATCAGTGCTGTTCTTTTAGCTTTATTTGTAAGGCTTTTGTCATGAAGCCTCTTTTTCTAGACAATGTAATTTGCATGTAGTCTTAATGAGGTATCTTAAGTAACTGAATGAACACTTGTGCTAATTGTCCAGTACATGGTCTTCATCTTGACTAATGAGAATATAACAGGCTGAGAGCAGCACGTCTGATCAGATCATTATCCTGCATTATCCTGCATTACCTTAGTAGTTAGCATGTCTTCTGGGCGAGCACTCACAAATAAACATTGAGTTATAATTAGAAGAAGCCATTTTCAATTCATGTGATTATGTTGTCTACTCTTCTCAAGCAATACACATCATAATATTTAAATACTATGACAAAAGGGCACGTCACATTTCACATTTAAGCTAACCCATGAAATAAGCAGGGTAAAAAGGTCATTTGAAGGGGTAGCTCAGGTCAGAGGTATAATTTTGCTCGATTCCAAAGAAGTGTGACATAAAATGCACCAAAACCTTTTGACATTGCCAACAGCCATGTAGCCGCATGTGTATCACGGGTCTTTTTGATCATTCACAGCTTCTTATCGCTGCTCAGCACTTTGTCTGCCCACCCGGCTATGCTAATGCTAATGCTAATGCCATTAGCGCTGCAGCGTGCATGTGTGTGAATCCTGCACTACAAGCCAAGCAAATGCTGTCATGACTACAGCCAACATAATATGCTTATTACTAAATTACACTAAATTAGAGTAAAACATTTAATTCAAAAAACAAACAAATACATTTAGTTATAATGTAATGTGGTAGCACAGGGCACAACTTTAACCTTCCATCCAGTAGACAGAAGAATAAAGTCACGACGTTATGTTGCCCCTGAGTTCACACACACTTCACCCTTATGCCCACTACAGTAATAATGTGGCTATGACAAAGAGCATCCATCATAGATATCTATAAAACCTCCTTGCAATTGTTCTGCAGCGCCAATATGAAAAAGGGAACAGCCAAATATAAGTCTGTCAAAGTAACTGCTATAAAAAAAAAAAAAAAAGCCTGAATCTTATTCTAGTTTAGCAGCAAAGTTGTTGTATGTGTTGTGCTGAAACCATTGAACCAGTAGTACAGTAAGCCTGACTCTTTAGCCTGAATTTGCTCATCATATTAACTTAAAACAAATTTTAAAAGGGTTAATAAGATTAAATTTATTTTAAAGATCCTTTATTATGTAAAATGAGTTTTTATCCATCCTCATCAAAAACATACCCACAGTTGTTTTATTTCATTCATACACACATTTGAGTAAACCTGGTTCATTAGTATGTCTACATCTCCAAAGCTCAAAATGCTCTGTTACACTTTGTGATGTCATGAAGTGGTAGTTTTCAAGTTAATAAGTTAACTTTTATATTTTGTTCACTAGAGATGAGCAATTCCAGGTCTGAAATTATTCAAATGATTCTACTGAAAGTGTATGGAGTTTAGTGGAGCACTTTCTGTATTACCACTTGATATCACAAGCTGGAACAGAGTGTTAAGTGTCTACATATTTGTGGTTTGTGTGTTAAACATGTGTAAATAAAACACCACTCCAGGTATGTTTGTGATGAGGAAACAACATGGTCAGATATCAGAAAATAGCATGACGTTGGCAAATGTAAAATATTTAATCCCGTTATTAGAGATCACAACTTGAACTGGTATACATTGTGTCTTTTTCAACACTAAATAAACGAAACACGCGAGTAAAATTGGTTATGTCATGCTGAAGTCCAGTTTAACTCCGCATGATACAAGGCCATAGAAGGTTATAATAAGGATGTGCTCCTCTGGGCTGCTGCTGTTAAAGTCTTTGAATGTGTGGTGTGGGCGATGCTGCAGTGACACAAACCTAAACACCAGGCTCACCTTTCAAATGACAGAGCTCTTTAAAGAGTCCTTTTATTTTCCTTACCGCCCACATGAAAACGCTCTAGTCCTCCTGCCTTCCAGATTAAGACCACCTCTAGACCCCGTATGTTGTCCTGACATTTTCCACAGCCCACCACTAAAAGCTACAGTATTAACCTATTCAGAGACAACCCAAGATGTATAGTAATGATAAAGACAGAAAGAAAATTAAGACGGACAAAGTAACCATATGGTGAGAATGAATTTGAGTGTGGAGGCTGGTAAACATAATTTTCTAGATCTAAATTTTAGCATGATTACTGTATGCATAATAGCTTTATTTTGCTGTCAACAGGTTACTGAGCCATCTGCTTCTTCTGAGAGTTCAAACTTCAATGCAGTTGGTTGAATCCACCTGTCACTTATGGAGCTCAACCGCAATGACCGCCCACCCCTCAGTTCCAGAAATAAATGTCTCGTTCATTTTTCCCATAGACTTTCTGAAAAAAAAAAAAAAACAAAAAAACAATAACAACAAAAAAAAACACAATAATATTAAAAGTTTAAAAGCTTGCTCAGGGATAATCAGCTATGTGTTAACTAATGAGCACTGAAACTTTATAAACTGCAAATTATAAAAACATTTATCAGAATCTTGTGTTTTAAGTGGCATTTTTGCATTTAAAACAACTGCATTATGGATATTACTTACCACGAAGCTGCCTCCATGATATCTTTGAACTCTTAAGTATTTGATTATTTTGAAAAGACTATGGGAAATATGAATGGAAAATCTTCTGAAACCATAGTGAGCGGTCACTGTTGAGCCTCATTCATAGCATGATAACAACAGGCCAAAAGGAACAGTGAGAAAACAAAAGAAGTATTTTGATAGACAAATTAAAAATGTAATGGCTTCTTCATTGGCTGAATGTCACAGGATTAGATCACAATTCGATATTATAATATTGTCCATCCCAATACAAACAGATAACAAAAGCATGTAGTCATATCCACGCACTGTACACAGGAATGACTAATTGATCTACAAGACTCCTCTTTCTCTTCAGAGGTCCTGGTCTTCCTCAACTTCCAGGAATGTGTTGTCCTCCTTCCAGTTACCTACAGCAGGCCATAAAGAGGCAGCTCAAGATCACAGTGGGACAACCTTGTCTAAAGAGAGAGATAAAAACTTATGAGAGATTAAGTTGCCACCGTAAGAATGATAGCAGATGGAGCAGATGGGGTAGAGGGGAGCAGAGGGGAAGCAGAGGTGTGCTATATAGATCAGGCCAAGAACAACCTGGGTTAAAACTTAGCAGAGCAAAGTAGACAGCCAAGGACATGCAGATGCAGCTACATCAGATATTGCTGCTATAGAAAAACCTGACAAACACTAGCACTTTCTTAGTGTTGATAATAAGTTATAGATAGGGACCCACCGATTTTGGATTTAAGTGCAGATACTGAAAAATTTGCTGGATCGAATATTGGCTTTGAAATATCGATTCGGCCAGTATTCGGTTTAGACCTATTAAATTGATGTAATCAGACTATTTGCTGGTTGTAGTCAGCCCAGAAAGTCTCATCATGTTTGAACTTTTATTTACACAAAGCTGTTCTTTGGCTCGTTGAATAAATAATGGAAAAAATAATGGAATAAAAATAGCAGCTGCATAAAGCATTTGTATCAGTTTTGTCTTATTTTATTTTTATTAAAAGAAATAAATGCTGTTCTCAGACCCTGCACTGGTGTCAGTTGATATAAGCAATCGGCAGATACTAAAAGCTACAGTATCAAAATCAGTATTGAGAATGAAAAAGCTGGATTGGTGTATTCCTAGTCATGGATATCTATATTACTTATTCAATCCCTTACAGCTAAAATCTTTTTGTATGAAAAAAAAACAACAACAAGAAAATGTCTTATCATCCTACTGAAAAATAAAATGATAATCCAATGGTTTAAACCTCTACAATCTTCATAAATATGGCTACATAATGCTCCAGATGCGTTAAAATGCCTGTGAACAGAATCCTAGATGCTAGGAAGAATCAAATCAAAAATCCTGCAGTCATGTATTTATGTCATTTATGAATGGAATAAATAACAAGAATATTTGGTGCTATTTAGTCCCATGTAGCCTCCATCATTTGACTGCTCTTAGTCTGTGACCACACCAGAGCTCAGACAGTTGCCGAACCTGCCTCTGACAGTGAGGGCTTTATATTCACAGCTACGGCAAGATTACATTTGACAGCCCAGCTCCAGTGAGAATAGTACAGCCTTTCCTCTAGAGGCCCCATAAAACAACTCAACTAAAATCATGTTCAGAAGAAACAGAGATGATAGCAGAATAACAAGACACTAGACAGATGCCTGCCAACTTGAGAGACTGGTACAAAAGTTTTGTACAAAAATCAATTCATAATCTGAATAATTGTCATATTTGTCAAAGCCCTTTTGGCACCATGCTGATCTGAACAAAAGCTTTCCTGAGCTGGAAGCGTAGGGGGCTGTTTAGGACGCCCTGGTGATTTGCCCTGACAACAATTTCTGGTGATTCAGCACAAAGGCCTGCTCTATAAAAGAAAAGGTTTCAGTGACACAATTGACAGAAGAAATGGGAGGAAAATTACACTTTTCCATTTGCAGGTTTGTGAATAAGGAAGCTGTCTGCGTCTTGATTTTTCTATTATGTTTCCAACTGTGCTATAAAAATGCAAGAAAGAAGAATCACTTACTACAGCGAACATCAAATCGTCAGGGTGTGAAAAATACCTGCAAAGTCCACTTCTTGTTCAAGAATTGGTCTACACATCTAGTCTTTTGAATAGCTAGACTCTTTTTGCAAGCCCTTTCCTACTTTATAGCCCATTCATCTTGGGTGGTGCTTCCCACTGTCACCTATCGCCATGGTAACGGCTGTGCTGCGATGTCATTGGTCACTGTGCCATATCCCGAGAGACGGACAGACCCGAAGGGGGGAAGGTCGCAGTGATGAGTCAAGAAGACAAGTCTGTGGCAATTGACCAGTGATTACAAAATGAGGTATATGTAATTCCATTGTGTGTTACATAGAAAGGGGTGGGGACTG